CTGTCAGCAGAGCATGTTAGCTGTAGTGCTGAATATAGGAATACAAGAAAGAAAAGGAGTTTAATTAAACTCATGCATGACACTTTTCATTGGATTTTACTGAAAAGAAATACTTCTAGACACAAATTGGTATTTGCTGCTGTCTAGACAGAACTCACAGGATGATATGTTTAAAAATCACAGACAAGTCATTAACACACTAGTATAACCATATTAATTTTTTTTGCTCTCACCTTTTAAGGAAGCTTGGCTCACTACCACACAAGCTACTGTATATAATGTTTAAACTCCATGTTAAAAGCTTATGGCACAGTTTCTTTTCATGTGGCTCACAATTAAATATCCATATAATGTCAAAATTTACGCAGTCCATTTAATCCATTGATACTGTCCTGTCATAGGTTGACGTTTGCTAACTTAAGGAATGGCTCTTGCATATTTCATGGAGATGAAAGTGAAGAAGTGCAATAAATATCAAAGCATATCAAGAATACAGCATGAGCCAGCGTTTTGTGGCCTTTAACCCAACTATTTCCCTCAGTCTCATCTTTTTGCACAAATATTCCAAAGTGATAATGGTTAAGAGACCACTGTGCAATGTATGTTTTGCCAGGAGGCACCATTCTGTAACCTCTGCAAAAAGAAGAAGCTCCCATACAATGGACACATCCCAAAACCTGTATGCACATCTTTGTATTTCCCTATAAGTTAATTTGCAAAATAGATTTCAGAGCTGTTTTGAAAGCAAACAAAAACACCATTAACTCAATGTTCTCTTATCAAACTAACCTCCGTTAGTACAGATTCTGCATTGAGTTACAAGATTATTGTAAGAATTACTATGAAGCAAATTTTGGAGAGCTATCAATGCATTGAAGCAAATTCTACCCCAACTGAGAATTGGAATTACATGTGGAGGGTTTATGTTGTGCTCTTAGTCTTACCGACTATGTCACTTTCTTGCAGTTACAATTTAAGCTGGGCTGAATGATAATAACAAACAGTTCTTTCATCTAGTAGAAAATATCATGAAGTAAAAATACAATTTTTATTTTTAAGGTTAGAGAATTTATTACCCCCAAAATATTTTTAATCTAAATATTTCTTAACCCTAAAGAATATTCCTTAAAATGATTACTTATCAGTGCTGTAACAGGCAGAGCTATGTCGTATTAGCATTTGTCTTTCCTTATGTCTAAAGTGCACGTTTAGATTGCTTTATAGAACTCTACCTGGTATTACACAGACAAAATATGTGCTTTTAATAAAGATTTGTATCAGTACTCTCAAATATAAAAAATTATAATAATGCCTAAAATAAAGCTCAATGAAGAAATATATATGATTAAAATGGAACTGGTGGGAAACAAGACGTTTATTTTGTAACGTCTCCAAGCCCATTTAAACAAATGGTACACACACTCAAAACTCCTCTAGCTATTTTAAATACTGGGTCATATTTCTCTCTGAAATAACACCTCTTTCCCTCCACTTATGGAAGCTTCATGGTGAATGAGAAGCAATAGCACATTAGCTGCTATACTTAGTAGTACAACCATACAACTTTACAATATCTTGCATCTAAATGTGTACTAAGCTGACAAGAGTTGAGCTGCTTTAAATTCAGGAGACCGATAATAGTGGGATATGCCTGCAACACAGGATAAATTGTAATGAAATTGTTCCTCGTTCTCCCTTCACATTTTATATGGTTATAATCTGTAAAAGAAGCCAGATCCAGGCCTCCAAATTTCAGGTCAGATATCAGTGCCTCATATGAAGCTGCTTTTATGCCTGATCAAATCATTTGTCAATCAAGCCCAGTATTGTCTAGTTTGACCTATAGCAGCTCTCCAGGGTTTCCCTCAGAAGTCTTTAATATCCCTTTCTGCCTGATACATTTAAATGGAGATACCAGGGATTGGACCTTGGACCACCTGCTTGCAAAGCTTGTGGTCTTCCAATATGCCATGTCCCATCCTCTTCTTCTGCCACACAGAAGTCAGAGTGACTAATACTAATAAATTAGTGCGCACCTCAAAGCTAAGTTTCCTTGTGCTTGTTCCAGAAAGAGTGCCTGCATGATTACCTATAACTTCACTTTCCACTCCTTCAACTCTCTGATGAGAAAATCTAAATATCTGCCTGCCATGTACCAGCTCAGGAAGCAGGACATACTAGTGATCAGAAGAGATCAATTGGATTTCATCATGGTAATCTAACAACAATTAAATTGAAATGCATTTCCCATTGCACAGTCTTATGACCAAATAAATTGTTCTCAAAACATCCTGTGGTACCTTCTTCCACATATTCTACAAACAATGCTCTCAGTGAGGGTTTTTTTAATGTCCTCAGGTAAAAAAAGTAGGCTTTCACCTCAATTGGTGTCTAACATAAATTTTAACACCCTAGTGGTCAATATTTGCATTTGTGCATCTCCTGCAATGCCAGTGGGCATTGATCTCTGTCTGCCCCATTTCAAAGCACTTTTTAGGGGGGCAGCACAGATTAAAATTGTGCCCAAAATACATTAGGTATGCTGTTCCTTTTTTGGGGGGGGGGAACTACATGGCTACAGTAGGGAGAATCCGAGTGTGTAAACTGGATTTTGAAGTGTTTGCATATGTTCCATAAGGATATAATAATGATACTTGCCTAAGATAACTGAGCCCTTTGATCATAATTTGGGGCTGAAAAGGTCTTTCATATTTCCATATGGATGTGGACGACAAACAGTTCTTGTGTTAGTGTACTTCGTAATAAATAATAATACTTAGAGACTGGAGTAGGAAACAGAACCCTATTCATGTGGCTAATACATGAATGAGAGGTAGAACTACTATGCTGTCCTTTATGTTGTGCATACATGTCCAGTTCTGCACCCTGAAGTTCTGAAGGTGGAATCAAGCAAACCTTAAGCAAACGCAATGTAGTTGGGAGCCCTGGGACCTACACAAGTACAACATATGGGGCTGAAAACATTGGAGGTAAGGCCAAATGATAGGGTTCCTATCAATGCATTAGCTGTCTCCATGGAAATACTAATGCCTGGAAGGGGTTAGAGACTGAAAGAGATAAATTCCACATATCTCCACTCATGAATGTTTTGAGCTTCACATATTTCCATATGGCACATAAGAATCCATGGTTCATTTAAGACAGCATTTTGGTTCCAACAAAAGCCAGTCGGATGCTTCTATTCATGAAAGGGCTCATCTACAATTCCACTCGTCCCATGTCTAGAAAGCATGGGTCCAAGTGGGTTCCCACTTTCCCCGTGCTTTCGAGGCAGGAATCTGAGTGGTTTTGCTTTTGCTCTTTCATGCTAAATCAGGAAAAAAATGGGAATCTCTGGAAAACATGATTGCTGTTTGTTCCAATTCAGCACTTTACTGCAGCCTTGTTTAGAGGTTGTGAAGTTGCATCTGATTTTTGTTGTTGCTTTTTTTCGTGTGTGTGGAAGGACATGAAGTTCAGCCATTCTGGTGCCTCTGCCTCCTCTCTTATCCACGACTTCCAACACTAATTTCTTCTGGGTTCGTTCACAGGCAAAATAATGATCACCATGTTGCAAAACAGTGACATCAGATCAAAAGTGTTGCCCAGTTGCCTAGGCAATGCAGATACACTTCTCTGACTTTCTGTACTTTGCTGCCTGCATGACAGTGATTGAAGATAGGAAGAAATGTCCATTTGACTAGGAAATGTGGGGATGCTTCATTATCTTCCGGCAATTTGCTGGAGATCTTCCAATTTTCTGGCAAATGGTTCTTATCATCATGACTGTGAGCAGCCATGAATAACAAAATTGGTGTAAATTGGATTCTCCCCCCTGCTGGGGATTTCACACACTGAATATGTCCTAATTCACCCCAGAATTTTGCAGTGGCTGATACTTCATCTCAGTCCCAGCCGCCGCACTATAGGGTGTATCTAACATAGAGCCTGCAGTAACCTGAATACAGGGGAAACATGTTTGCTAACTTTTGTCACTTTGCTGAAATCACTGGGGGTTTTGTAACAGTGCACTAAATCCATAAGAAGCATTAGTTTGTCTGACAGGGTCTGCAACACCATTCCTGGATTTATTTGTGTGATAGGTTGTCATATGCCTGCTGGTATTTTAGACTTAATAAAATAGGCACTAGTGGATTGCTGGTATTTTTTGGTGGCATGAGACAACACAAAACCTTCCTTTATCATTCTGCATTGTAAAGAAGTGAAATGAATTTGATGATATGCCCTTATGCCCCAACTTTATCCCGTTACCTGCACTCTATATTCAATGAAAGAATAATTTTGGGAGTAAAAGTTAAAACTTAGTTTATAATGCTTTGTGCAGAACATTCCCCTAGGCCAGGTTAAAGGGTATATCTTAGTATCGCACCCACGGCTCATGGACTGAGAAATACTGGATTTTCTCTGTAGTGCTGCTTGCCTCCACTCTTTCAAACTCACCACCTTTCCCATAGATTAGGCACCTAATCCTGTTCAAATAGAAACTATCTCAAGCCATTCGTATCCTCAGTAGGCATGCCTAACTTTTTATGTTGAGTTACCAAAGTAGTATGGCCACACAATCTGTGGCTACTGGAAATAAAGTTGAGAGGGCTCCCCCCTTTTTTTCTATCCATAGCCCTAGAGTGTCTGTAGACTTCTGTTATGTTCAGAAATTGTACCAAATTCATTTGCACGAATATTTACTTAGATTTAACAACGCATTTTAAATCCTTAGCCTTTGTATTGATCACACTGAAGGCAGATTCAGAAATGTATAACCGAGATAGCACAGTCGTCACAGACTGGCCACGCCACCTAAAGTTTTACATTGGGAATCATTTGTTTGAAAGTACTTGCTCAAGAAAATATCTCCTGACACCAATATAAAACTATGTTAGAGCTGTTTTTGACACAGGGCACAATTTGCATATGGTTTCCACCCACCCATACTTAAATAAATCTATTTAAATCAAATTTGCTTTTCTTTTTTTCTTTTTAAAGTCATCTTAGTAAATATTTCTATAACAGACACATTACGGAAATAGTCCTGTATCACATTTGTTCTTATTTAAAAATCAAAGTAAAACTTCAGCTTTGATTTTCTTTATCCTTCAAAGCAGCATGTTTTCTCTCCCCTCTCTGGTGTTCAACAATAAACTCTTGTGGTTTTTCTGTTGGCACACTTTCAGAACATATAGCATTCCACTGCATTAGATAAGCTGTAGAGCAAATATATTCTGTCTTTGCTGATGAGAACTGTCAGAAGAAACAAAAAACAGCTTCTAGGTGCAAAGTTCTATTCTATATTTTCTTTTAAGCCTATAACATAATATATAATTATTGAGAGAATTAATTTAAAGGACTGTGCAATTCTAGAAAAAGGAAATAAATTTCCTTAATTTAAATATCAAGATGAAACACCACACCAGGAGGTGTGCTAGATTTTACTTCCACCATTCACACTGGGGCCCTGCAAACTACGCCCAATCAGGGTTTCTCAACTATGCAGAGCAGATATTGGGAAATGTGGGTGGGTGGAATTGGGAGGGAAGGGAACAAGAGCAATTCCTATTTGTGCAAGTGACAGTCAGTTGCACAAGTAGAATGCCATAGTTGGCTATCCGGTATCTTCATAGGAAGGTTTTCGTTTCCCCCAATTTTGTTCTAGCACTTCTTTTGACGTTGTTCAGCACATATGTATGTAAAGTCAGTTAAAATAAATGGGTGCTACATATGATTTTCATCATGTTTACCTGGAAGTAAGTTGAACTGATTTCAATGACACTAACTTCCTAGTGTATATTATGTGTATATTACAGAATCAAATATGCACCACTGCCCCATAATTTCAATAGCTTTAAGCATATTTAACCTTCATGGAACAAAATCCTCTCCCCCTCTAGGGCCCTGGAGGTGACAATACTCATTTGAGTGACTCAGAATATCTGACCTCACATCCTATCATGTAGAATCTATGTTACATTTTAGAGTAAATACCAGAAGCAAGTGATCTGTTTCCTCAACAGAAGGTCTAGCCTGCTGAGTCATACTCTGTGTACTGGTAAAGGATGTGATTAGACAGTTTCCTGCCTTGAATGCACAGAGAAATTTCGCCAAGGCATACTTTTTCTTTTTATAAAACGGCCAGCAATCAACAAACTGCTTATTCCAGTGCAGAACTGAAGCCTCACCAAAAACACCAGCAGCATTTCACAGAGTAAGTGGATTGTGTCATTATGAAGTATTTTATATGAGATTTCTCTCTTTAATGTGCAGCCTAATGTATGCTCGGTGTTTATTATAAAAGACATTGGCAGTGTCTTTAAATTGAGAAAATGTGCTTCGTCACTTAAAGGGAAACTTCTTTTTTTAAGCACCCCCCCCCATGGCAAATCTTGACTTATAAAGTTTAAAGGAAACTTTAAAGTGGAATAGCATTTCTGTTAATATGGCACTTTGCTGCAAGAAACGTCAGAAAATACTATACCATTATGGAACAGCATCTATAAATACATTGGCAGTAGAGTTTTAATTTAGAAGGTTGTGGTTTTTCTTTGCAAAAGCTGGCTACTTTTAGCTAATAAGAAGTTGAATCACTGTTGCAGCAGATACTGTAGCTTCTTCGGATTCCACTCTTCTATCCTTTTGTGACTTTGCATAGCAAGTCAAATGTGATTTTTTCCCTCCACGCCCTTTATGAGCCAATCGGTATTTGTACCATAGTAATAGAGAACCAGAACCGTTAAGCACTGGAAACCTTAATCTTGTTTTTGGTGAATGTCCTCGTGCCGAACGATTTTGTAGATGACCCAGTAAAAAATGTTGAATATCAGAAAGGCTAGTGGGAAACAGGCTCGGGAGATGGTGTCAATTTTCTTGGCCCGATCAATGAATACCTTCCTCATGTCTTCAGGGCTTTTTGGTGCAGGTTGAACTGGATTGTTTGGTGCTTTTGGAACCACTCCATCTTTTGCTTGTATACATGGTGGCCCCATTCCATAGCCTGTAAAACTGAACCGATTTTCTCTTGAATCTTCATCCTGTAAAAATAAATAAACAGGAAAAGGTTTCACCTGGAAATTCTAACAACTGAAATCTTCGAGACCCTTTATATCACTATTCAAAAAAATATTAAAACTATCGCTCTATATCCTCCCCGCCCACAATATAATCAGCTGCTGCAAATGCAGTAATACCAGTAGCCCAACTACTGCTGTGCTGGCTGCAATTTGATTTCTATTTGAGTCACAATTCAATAATTCTAAAGTAAGGTAAAGGGACCCCTGACCATTAGGTCCAGTCGTGGCCGACTCTGGGGTTGGGGCGCTCATCTCACTTTATTGGCCGAGGAAGCCGGCGTACAGCTTCCAGGTCATGCGGTCAGCATGACTAAGCCTCTTCTGGCGAACCAGAGCAGCACACAGAAACACCATTTACCTTCCCGCCGGCCGGAGCGGTACCTATTTATCTACTTGCACTTTGATGTGCTTTGGAACTGCTAGGTTGACAGGAGCAGGGACCAAGCAACGGGAGCTCACCCCATTGCGGGGATTCGAACCACCGACCTTCTGATTGGCAAGTCCTAGGCTCTGTGGTTTAACCCACAGCACCACCCGCATCCCTTAATTCTAAAGTACTCGTTGGTTATTTCATCTATGAAGCATGAATCCTGGTTCCATCAACTCCTTCAAGCTTCTTGCATTGAATGAAATTGTCTGAATGGAGATTGTAAGCATGGCCAGTTGAACATCTTTTCTGCAATCTGGTGAATTAACATTCATCTGGACACACTAACAGAAACCCCTTCTGACCTTCCTGTCCAATGTGGGAAGTCAATTGCAGGGGTTGTGGAGCAGTATGCTCTCCTTTCTGTATTCACTAAAACAATTAAATCTACATATCTGCATAGGGCTTTTGACATCTGCCCATGTGAGAAATTTTAAAATCCAATATCTGTTCCTGCCTGTCACTGAGTATTATGTTTCTTAGGATGGTTATCTTACATCTGCCTATAGATGATCTTGTTAGCTGTAGCAGGTGCTATTTTTCTAGAAAAAGAAGTGCCGGAATTCACCACAAACACCTCCCTTGTTCTGTTAAAGAACAAGGCAGTGGCACTCACCTGAGAAGTGCCAGAACTGAGTTCTGGCAAGTTTCAGCTGGGAAAAAAAAAGGCCCTGGCTGTAGCTGGATAGTTGTAGCTTTCAGTTGCTTCTGCAGTGGAGGACAGTATATAATAATCACACCTCTCATAATAACTATGTTAACTTGTGATCCTGGGCTAGAACTGGGCTGTTACCAGGATACATGCAATAATAGTTAATGGCCCAGATGACCATTACAAGTGTGTACAGTGGTACCTCGGGTTATGGACTTAATTTGTTCCGGAGGTCCGTTCGTAACTTGAAACCGTTCTTAACCTGAGGCACGCTTTTGCTAATGGGGCCTCCCACTGCCGCTGCACAATTTCCGTTCTCATCCTGGGGCAAAGTTTGTAACCCGAGGTACTACTTCTGGGTTAGCGGAGTTTGTAACCTGAAGTGTTTGTAACCCGAGGTGTTTGTAACCCGAGGTACCACTGTACTTGGTTCAGATGGATACCGAATTTTGGATTGAATCAGGAAGATTCAGAGAGATTTGGGGATCTTCCAAGGCAAAGTGGGTCTCCTTTGAACTGAGCTGCTCCTGAAGCATCAAATAGACTCAGATTGTTGGTCTCTTTGAAATTTCAAGTGTCTAATGCAAAGATCTTTTTTTTGCATAAGGTCAGGAAGGGGACTTTAGTTTTCTTTCTGACAGATCTACCTTCCAAAGAGGGAATAACTTTTCTACATTAGGAGTGATGAAAAAGAAGGAACTGACTGTTCTCAACTGAGCATAAATTTCCCCGCAAAACCCACAAACTGCTTTTATTGATCACAAGTCCTTATCCCCTGCACCAATTAATTCTCCTGAAACGTTACCGGTTACTGATCTGTAGGCATTTCTACAACATTTGCTATTTTCATACATAACTCTGCCCAAACCACAGGAAGGTAAGTAAATCCTTTTCTTCATTTAGTTCTCCAACCCTCCCAAGTGGTTTCAAAGGAACCCAACACAAAAAATGTTGCACCTTTGCTTTTGAAATCTAGCATTTTTGAAAACCTAGAAGCACCTCTTTGACATATACTGCTTTCATACCAACTGTCTACAAAACAACAAAAGTTGGTGAGGGTTATTGGACAACAACACACAACAAGCAAGCACTTTCTGTGCTATCTTTTGAGTGCTGGCTGAAAACTTTTTATTCCACCAGGACTATGCAGGCAATTAAGAATGCGTACTTCCACAATGGTTAATTGGTTAATGTCTTTTTTTTAACCTTTCTATGTTTTTTATTGTATGGTTTTATGTTTTATTGTTCTAAAACACGTTGATATAGTTTGTCAGATGTAGTGGTATATACATATATAAATAAATAAAAATAACCTGGGAAAAGAAAAACCCCCTTTAAAACCACCCTAAAACTGTAAAGGCTGTCTTGGTAGAAACTTCCTTGTACCTATCCTCCTTACATTTGATGGTACCCATCCCCAGAGAAAGGGAAATGCCAGCTTGCCAATGGAGTGGAAACAACTCCATCAGAAGCCCCCCTAGTTGGCTGCTGGAAGGCTCCACTGGCTGGAAGCACTGGCGGAGGAACGGGGGTGCAGAGGGAGCAGACCTCCCCCAGACCTATATTCTGGTAGGGTGCCATCGCAGCACCTCCCCAGACACGTGCCGCACACCCCCATGTGCCGGGTGCCACACCCCCACAGGTGGCGTGTCACACCCCCAGAACACATGTCATGTCCCCATGGGTGGCATGCCACACCTCCAGGATGTGCGCCACACCCCCAGGGCACCATCACGCCCCCGCCTGCTCTCCTCCCCCGGTAGTGGAGCATGCAGCTTCGTCACTGGCTGGAAGGCTTTGCTGGCAAGACCTCCCAAGAACAGGATGTGAACATAGCTAGGTATCAGTGTGTGTGTGTGTGTGTGTGTGTGTGTGTGTGAGAGAGAGAGAGAGAGAGAGAGAGAGAGAGTTTCTGAATCATCTTGTTCTGTGTTTTCTTCCTCCCCTTTTGAGCAAGGGACAGCTTGCATGCAGCAGAGCAACTGTTGGCAGACTGGGGGGTGGGCCTCAAAACCAGAAGATTCCTGACTTTAGTACTGCTCAGTACTGGACAGCTTCCAGATTAACTCTGCCAAGATAATGTCACGTGAAGATTTTTGCTATGGCATTTTAGTATGTTGAATATTCCATTTCAAGGCACTCCCTCATGTGGTGAGATGTGGTGCTTTGCCCTCCAAGGGAACATTTGTTTAAAAAAAAAATCCTTTGCCCAGTGTGTTAAATACTAGTTTCCTTAATGTGAGACCATATTCATACAAAATGAGATTGAAAGAGTTACCTGTTGGTAACTTTATCACATTAAAAGGTGATGTGTGATTATGCCAAATGATGGGTAAAGATTGCCATTAAAATTATTACATCATTGATTGATTTTAAAGGGTCTTAAAAACAAAAGAAGGCAATACACAATTATTTTATCAAGAAATACAGATGCATTATTTCCATACAGTACCTTCTAGAGGAAACATGACATAGAGTTCCATGACAAGGGATTATTGTTTCTAGGAGACTTCCGCGCTCCTAACTTTCTCTAGACTATGTACTTAGTCTGCAGCTGAGCTTGATTAAAAATGTTCACTGCGAAATAGTGAAATCAGTGCAACAATAAAGAGGAAATTGCTTTCAAAGTCTGCAGGTGTATCCAGAAGAACTCACAAACAGGATGAACTGAAAACATTAACTGGTATCCAAAGAGAGCTCTTTTTAACATGAAAGTCTACATTGGCTTTCCTGCAGGTATGGCTGCCTCCCCACCCCTGATAAACAAAAATAAATGAAGATTGAACACAACAAGGAAATAAATAAGCTGTGGATTGCTAACAAATGAAGAATAACAAAGATACAAAATGAAAATAGGACATGAATGGTATGACATGATTCAAAATAATAAAAAAATCTTGTTTTTACTTCAAATACTGTGAAATATAACTTCTTCATTATAGTTAACCCTAGGCAATTATATATAAAGCTTGATATACATGGTCAGCAAATATCAGGCATGTAGATTCTACTAATATGGAACCCATTTTAAACCCCTAGCAATGTATTATATTATCATTTCAACCTGTCTATGTATCCTGCATCATTCAACGGAATGAAGTCACATTCAATATTTTTTTTTCCATATTATTCATAATTCAGCATTCTCTTATTGCCTGCAAATAATGCAATTGCAATCCTTTTACTATTACTAACATTGTGCTGCCACAGTATGGTCACACCTGTCTGCCATTTTTAGTGACAGAGAGATGGATTGAACTACCAGATTCTTTTCTAGAAACGTTTTGGGGAAATTTAATCCCACCCAAATTAGATTTTGGATTTGTAGTGGCATCTGGTAAAATGACAGAATGATTTCTAAATGGCTGTCAAATGGCTGCTAGATCTTGCCACATGCATGTGGTAGCCTTTCATATGGCACATGGCCATGAGGGCCAACAAGACTCTCAGCCTATACGCATTGATGGAGATGCCCACAATCAGTTGTAGCAGATTGAGAATATTCTGAAGCTAGTATTACCTTTGTAACACACACACACACACACACACACACACACACTCACTCATGTGAACTGGGCCTTTCTCAGATAAAAATAATAATCTGATTAATTTTTATAGCAAGAGGACCTACTTAAACATACCACTTAGAAACATTTACAAATATTCAATCCATCACCTCTCTACACCACGTCTTTTTGAATTGTTGTGATATTAAGGATTGTACCTGATTTCTGCTGCACTGTCTCCTGTTCTCCTTGACTGACCAAAACTATAAGGTCTCACATACCACAGATGTACTTTATACCAGGCCCCTTAAGCTTACTCTGGTGTAGGGCCCTCATGAAGTGCCCACTTGAGTACATTTAAGATTATGGAATGCACCTGACACTCAGTTGCGTGGCTGAATCGTTGAAGCTTCCAGAACCTATCCCACCGTCTCCAGTAGCTTTTGAGAAATGCATATGCTTCTTTACAAAGACACAGTAGGAGTGAAGCAGACAATATTAGATCATTTCACAGTGGTCATGTGCGAAGCATATTCATGCTCCTTTCAAAGAAGTAGATCTGGAGCTGCATTAGTAAATGGTGAGAGGTTGCTTCTTCTGGACCCTGGGCACAAGGGGCACCCTATCACTGACTTATTTGCTTATCTACTGAAGGTCTCTCAGATCCTGGCAATGCTTTAACATTGCCTCAGTATAGGAAACCTTAATTGTTTCTTAATATTTATATTGTTTTTGTGGAAGTATTTAGGTGTACCATATTTAGATGTATTAATTTCTAAACCATGTTTTGAGGAGAAAGAAAATCAGATGTGAATTCTATGTTACGAGCTCAAAATTAACCACCACAAATTTTATTTCCATGGTGAAGGGAGGCTGAACCTCTCTAGTAACAATATGTATCATCACACAGAAGTAGTAATGGAAGTTCACAGAGTCCACATGGAAAGACATTAGTTCAGACAAATGGACTGGGCCTTTGTTAATGACTGGGTAGCATGTTAGGACAAATGGGACATCTTCTACATAGTTTACCCTTAAATTTATATTGTAGATTTGAGGCAAAGTCCCGTCTATGAATTCTGTACTTCTCAAGCCATTGCTACGCCGCAATGATTCATTGATTTCATTTCCATCAAGCACTCCCTCATAAAACTTTCATCAAAATGGAAGGCAGACCACAAAGACAACAAAAGAAAATAAAAGGGAAAAAAGAAAATGATTATTAGTGAAAAAAACATATAATCAACCTAGTCTACAAGTAGTATGGCATTTAGAACTTGGGTTAAAAGGTTGAAGAAAAGTTGAAAAGTAAATAAAGACTAGTAAAATGTAGCCTTAGATGTAACACTATATTTCCTTCAACACAAGCACAAAATTAGTATGCATGCTTGCTTCTTTTAAAGTGGAAATGCCAACAAGCAAAGCAATATCCATATGTATCATTTATTTATGATACACCTCCAACTTACTCTCTGCAACCCCTGTAAGTGCTTTTTAAAGGGCAAAATGGGTGTGAATTTTAGATGCATTCATCCTAAATATCTTTAGATCCAGTTCATGAATTTAGTGATACTGATTCATGCAAAGGCAAAACCCCAACTTACACAGATGACTGCAGAATCTTCAAAATATAAGTACACAATTTCCCAACGCCTCTTCCAAAAGTTTCCAGTTGCAATCACTATTTTTTAAATCAGCTGCTGTATGTTTTCCATGCTTGTATTACTGATACCCCTCATAGATGTGATGTTCTCTCTTCTCAAAAATATTTCAGAAGGTGCAGCTCCCCATCGTTATGTGGGGAGCCCACTTTGTGCAATGCCCATGTGGCATGATGGAAGGGAGCCACTTCCTCCCCCTCAGAACCTCCCTTGAGGTCCAGGCCGGTCCTGCTCATAGAAGCCAATTGGAAGTCCAGAGGGTAGAGCTGGGCAAGCAGATCTGAGGGATAACCTGTTTCCACAGGCCTGTTCCTAGATTATAAATTTGGGTACTGGTCATGTTTCCTACCTACCTTCTTTCAGATAATGGGCATCGTTGCTACGGGCTTTGGTTCATCACTGGTTATTAGGCTTAGGAAGGAATGTTACTTGCAGCTACAACTGGCCAAGAAGCTATGAGGTTGTTTTTTGTTTTTGTTTTTTAAAAATATTTATTGTCACAATTATTATTTGGTTGGGATTCATAACATATTGAAAGGGGGACCCACCTCATAAGGGGTCTTGGGAGTGTCTCACTACAGCATCAGAATATGCCTGAGGGGCTGAGCTGCCCCACATCCAGGCTTCTGAGGGGTCTATGGTTTGCCCACCATGTGGACTAGGGGAGACATAGGACAGCAGATGTTGTCTGCTTGTTTTGTCAGGATACTTGCCTATACTATGTCAAAAGTTGTGGCAAGTTCCAATCCACATCAGTTTTCCCATGCGTGTGCCGTGGCTGTAGAACATGCCATAAAGTGTGAGGGCCACAACCTCTCTCTTTGCTGTAATGATGATTTCAGCAGGTAGTGCGGAAACCTGTCCATGAATTTACTTGTTTGTAGTATTAGCTTCTGAGTATTCTAAACAGAGCAGCTGAAGTCAATTTGCAACTGCAGCTCAACCCTGGAACTATCTGGTGCAGATTTCAAGGTTAAGCATCAATTGACTTTTCAATATCTAATATTCAGTGCTCATCCAAAAGTATCTGATCTTTGACATGTGATATTTTATATGCATCAGTATGCAGTGTTCGACACATTGTCTGTTAGGACTGCTGGTTTACCATATTTTCCCACGTATTATTTCTCATTGAGCAATATTTGATACTTGGCACCTGATACCTGTCATTATCAAACGATCTGTTATTTAATAATCTGCACATAATACAGAATTTACTATTTAACATTTAATTTTTTGCTATTTCTTGTGTTAGTTGGAGGCTGTAAGTGGCTATTTGCTCGACTGCCTATAGCAGGAATAATCTCCAGATTTTAGTTTAAAAAACAAAAGAATAAGAAGATAATTGGTGGCATTTGTGGGCTGGTGGGCTCCCCTCCCCAGGCCTAATTTCTCATGTGGGCATTTTTTCAACTAGAAGCTCTCCGGAGCTGGTGTTGTTTTGGGAAAAGGTCAAGCCACTTGTTTTCTCCCTCAGTTATATAGCTCACTAGGAAAAATAAGTAACACCAAAAGCATGTTTGAATGACATAAATTGAAGTGATACATGAAGTGATTCCATTAAATGAATGCTTGACAAGAATAATAATAAAAAAGGAAAACCTAAATGAAATCTCACAAAATATTTACGTATCTGTGGTTGGCTGATCACAACTTCACTCCAAGAACTAATAGGAGGAACTGTGGTGAATTTGACACTGGAAGGGTTGAAAAAGGGGGAGTATTTTCTACATCTTGTCCTAGAACAGAGACTGGTCCAGCACTGTAGCTCTGATCATTTCACTTTTTCAGTCTACTACACTTTGTTGACCTGGATATTCAACCAGAAACCTCTAACCAGGAGACTGTTTCAGCACTAATTCCTGCAGTCTCAAAACGTTGTGTGTGTGATGAGAGACTGTGCTCCTATGCATTTCCCATTGCATATAGACTGTAAGGAAGGTGGGACGTACACATCTACATCCATATGAACACAGGTTTGACTGCAAAAAGAATCCTTCCAAAAAGTGGAAGAATTATGGAAATCAAATGTACCTCTGTGCAAATATACATACCGGTATTTGTTCCATGCTGTATCATGCATACAGCATTTGCAGTCTACAGATTATATGGACAAAGCATTATTCAGCAAAGCAAAGGAGGGGAATTTAGCTAACAATGGTTCTCTAATCAGGAAGGAATGTAACAATTAAATGTCAATAATCATCTCACCAAGGGACAATCCAACCAATCATTCATTCTCAATTCTGGAATGTTGAAGTCAGATTCCAAAATCATTAACAGGTTTCTAGATCATTGGCCTGATAGTGTATAAAATAGCTATCTATATGTGAGAAACTCTGAGTGGATGGCATATGATTATTGAATAGCAGTTTCATTATTCTGACCACATTCCCATATAGTATTTAATATTGCTATGTCAGAAATGGAATACAGTGGTACCTTGGTTCTCAAACTTAATTCATTCTGGGAGTCTGTTCGACTCCCAAAACTGTTCAAAAACCAAGGCGCAGCTACCGATTGGCTGCAGGAGCTTCCGGTACTTAAGCGGAAGCCGTGTTGGATGTTCGGCTTCCGAAAAATGTTCACAAACCAGAGGAGTTACTTCCAGGTTTGCGACATTCGGGAGCCAATTTGTTTGGCAACTAAGCCATTCGAGAACCAAGGTACGACTGTACTGTGTTAAGCAGCACATTTCTTTGATCAATTTACACAGCATGCTTCTAATGTTCATGAAAGGAAATAAATGTAGAACGCAACAGATACCTTATGGTTGTATCCAACTAAGTCATATTCATACTAGACCCCATGAAATCAATGGACTTAAATGAATTAATACCAAAAAAATTCAATGGATTGACACTGAGTAAACCTTAGTTGGATAGAGCCCTATGGAAAATTTTTATTTCTTGATCTCTGCTCATCTCCTGGTTAGATAAAATCCAACTGGCCAAGTTTTTTCTTTTTTCTTTTAACCTGACTGCAGATTAAAAAGAAAAAGAAAATTAAAAGTCCTAAACTAGAAAACTAGTGACTGTTTAACCACTGTCAGATGGATAAAAAATTAGAAACTAAGCTGTATAATTATCTGAGATCAAAAGGAAGAAGCAAAGAAGGATATTGCAGGTTGTTAATGAAATCCAATTACATGTTCCAATTTACCAATGAGAAAATCCATTCCTCTTACAAACTGAAATGGAACCAACTATTTGCCCGTGTTCACTAAAATTCATTTTTGTTCCATAGGGGCTTCAGCATGATACAGATTCTCACTTCTGCAGATTCTATCACATTATAATCTGGATGATTGGAGCTCATCTGCTAGCAATGTTAAATACTTCTAAGTTCTAGGTCACCTCTAACTGTGTAAGCCTATAAAACATCTGTGCATTTGTTTATGTATTTAAATTTGTGTTGCATTTGGTACCAAGAAGAATATTGGAGTTAACTCATTGTCCCATGAATACCAGTCATTTTATAATATGATAAAACATTTTAAGATTTGTCAAGACTCAGTGTCGTGTGACTGAATTTTATTCCTGCTGTTATCTGGGAAGAAAGACGAATGTCAGCTTTGAAACAGGAGGACTTTACAGCCCAGCCCTCAATGAGAGTTACATTAGTCACCACCCATAAGGAGCTGTTGGGTTATAGGATCACATTGGCACTCTTCTTGTCCTTGGATACTCATTTGCATCTATTTTTATTGGTGCAAAAAAGAAATGAAAATGTATTACAACTTATAAAATGGTTGATGTCTATTAAGTTGTGTGTGGGGTGAGTGTTAAACATCTTGCATTGTTTTGTTCCACTTACAACATCTAGAGTGCTTTACTTTGAGCATGCCACCAGCCTGGTGCTCACAGGTGTCATGGCACCCACAAAGTCTTCTAGTAGTGCTACACAATGAGTTTCCCTTCCTTCCTTCCTTCCTTCCTTCCTTCCTTCCTTCCTAGAACGCTTCTAGCCCTCCCAGAGATGAAGTTATGGGAAGGCACCTTCTAAGCAATTTATGTGAAATGAGAGTGGTATGGTTACCTTACATTTTCCCTCTGGTACTGAGGAATGCTCCCTGTTGTTGTTAGACGGGAACAGCACCAGTTTGTGTGTGACGCCATAATCAGGACCAGCAGGACACAGTTGACTTCCCATGAGAAGCATAGAGTTGTTAGGGTGGTTGTCTCTCTAATTTTGTGTTATGCCATGCTCTTTGTGGCAGACATTTTGCTTTATGCCATTCCCCCTCCACGGCAGCCATTTTGTGACAGGCACCAGCAGCAAATTCAAAATGTGCCCACTAGTAAAAACATGATTGGAGACCCCTGATGTAGAGAATGTGATATGGATTTGTGGTGGCCGTCTGCATCCATATATTATTTCCTGCTGCAGTTTCCAGCCCCTTCTTGTTCTCCAGAGGATCAGTCATAGGTGTCCTTCCTTCCTATGATGCAACTATGTCCTCAGGGTCCTTGTACCCCTGCTCAGATTCCTAACCCCTTTGGTTATTTTGTGGGCTCATCTTCAACTTGCTGCACAACCCATTTTAAAAAGGTCATGATAAATAGATAAATCCATATTGACTCTGTAAGTGTGGAATCGAACTGCTAAATACATGCAACGTCTAATTCCCTCTCTTGCCACTCCCCAATACAAAAGTACCAAAAACAAGTCTTATATAAGTAAGTAGATTAAACAAATGTGAATACATCTATCAAGGTCTTCCACTGAACCATAGTAGCAAATTATTTTAACACATTTCAAACCATCAGTTTCCATCGTGAACGGGCAATCTGCTATTATTCTCAGAGGGTGAAATTAAACTCTGTGCAGCAAGCTTCCACAAGGCTCTTGTCCCACTTAAATCCCTTTTTAATCCTTTCTCTGAAGGTTTCAGCGGGATTTGTGAATTACACAGGCCTTGTGCTGACCTTAGGCAGACAGAATGTTATCCTGTGTTAACATGTTACTTGTACAGCCACTCCTAAGACACTGTACCATTGTCACAAAGCAGACAGCCCTTTCTGCTGCCTGTATTTCTTTAACCAATGGCTGTCATATTTACCTTGTTCTTCTTCCTCTTTCGGTGGAATCTCAAAAGTTCTTTATGCTGCCTTGACACAAAGTTTACAGCTGCATATTCCAGAAGTGCCGAGAATACAAAAAGCAGGCATACAGCCATCCAGATGTCAATAGCCTTGACGTACGAGACCTATAGATAGCACAGAGTATAAGACTGCTGGTATTAGAAACACAGATGGGAAGTGCAGTGTCTCCTAATGTCAAGGAAAGAGAAATGTGTTTCCCCAAGCCCAGAGAGAAAGCTAGTTTTACGGGGGGAAAGGGCAAAGGCCAAATCTATATTTCCCATAAAAGTAACATTTCCTGAACACTTCACACTAAAAGCACTATCCTAAGATTTCCTGTGCCATTACATATAAATATATAGGGTGAAACCTACCAGCTATTGTGCTAACACAGCATTGCAAATCATTCTTCTTTCTTCTTTGGCAATAATTCGTAGCTGAGTAAGATTGTCTTCCATAAATACGGTTTTAACAGTGAGTCTGTAAGTGACTATGGAGGACAATTCTGGAGCTACACGTCCTTCCACAGTGGGGACACTGTGTTTCCAGGCGGGAGTTGAACACGGTGTGGATTTGCCAAGCGTGCCTTTCTCTTAGCACATTTCTCCCTACCGTCCTGAGTTCGAGTGTCTTCAAAGCCCATGACACCTTTGGTAAAGGCTGTTTTCCAATTGGAGCGCTCGCAGGCCAGTGTCTCCCAATTGTTGGTATGGAAGGAACAAAACCTCAGCCCAAATGCTCACAATCTCACCCACTGAATATTTTTGAATCTAACAAAAATGTATTATTATTCTAGATATGGCTATGTCTTTGAGCTCCACATGTCCCCACATCATCATATGGTTCCCATTCCCAGCTTAGATGGGTAGAGTTCCACAAATTAACTTATTTTAGGATTTAAGCTGGTGGTAAGATCCAATGATGCCAGCTGCTTTTGGAATGGACTTCTGTTCATGTAACAGCACTTGCCCTTCTCTTTCCGCTGCACCCACCTATCCCTGAAATCTACATTGTGGGGTTCGGGAACCCACTGTGGAAGATTGGGGGGGGCAGGGTTGCAGGAAGGACAAGAGGAGAGTCCTGTTGCATCCACTTACACATACTAAAATCAAGAGCAGATGAGCTCACATCAGGCATTTAGCTGTTTAAAGTTGTTTGCCTAAATAGGAAATTTTCACTTTCCTATTCAGGAAAACAACTTTAAAAAGCTAAATGTCAGGGTCGCTGTTGAAGGGCCAGAAAGGAATTTTCCTGAATTGGCAGGTTTTGCCTTTCCCGTAGCAAAATGTCACAACTTTGGTGGTTTCAGGCCTTGGGCGGAATCCTTTAGTCTATCTTCCTACATGGGGTGTGTGTGTGTGAAGCAGTGACCCGTGCCCCCCTTGCGGCGGTGATACCAGGTTTCCCCGTTAAAGGGGTCTTGGGGGAGGCATTGGCCATAAACCGAGAGGTTGTCATTGCTCTCCCTTCCAACAGTATCCTTTAACTACAAAATAGTGCATCCCAGCTATTCAAAACAGTCATAACTTTAGCTTTGCATCAAAAAAGCTTTGGAGTTAGAAAGAAATATTTTAACTTTTCTCTTATGAATAGCTGGGATGTAGTACATATCTAGAAGCATTTGGAGCTATTTAAAGAAGCAGCAAATATTCCACTTTTAGGTGCTGAACACAGTATTTTAGCCCAGTTCCTCACCACATCCATTATGACAAAAGAAATTACGCTATACAGCCAAGTGGACTATTTCTTTTCTTCAGAGACACTGGCCAATTCTTTCTCAGAACTGAACATCTAGTAGTAAAAGTTTCAAACAGTACAACACTTCAGAGCACTTTTTAGTTTCAGTTATATTGATGTACTGTTCTGTTGAAGTCAGCATCAGGGTTTCTTCAAAGTGAAAGGAAACGGAATTTGACCTTGAAACAGTAAATCAAATAACAGAGATCTCACACTAGTGATGCTTTATGTCTGCCATCACCCTGTGAACTACAGGGAATTGTAAGACCTGTATGTACAAATCAGGGTGTTGTAACTGCCAAAAATGTGTTCAGGAGAAAAATAAATAAAGCTACTACTTACAACTATATTCACTATTTTATGGCAATGGGTATCAAGTGGCTATTGCACAAGAGAGTTGCAATACTACTTCTGAACAGCAGGTTTTGTAATCATAGATTTATTATCATACCTAGCTTAGTCGTTCAAGTGCAGCTATATAGAGATTTACACATATAATTGAAATAAAGGCTGAAGTGCACTACACAAATGGTTTAGCTTTAATCCCCAAATCTTGCCCCACTGAAAAGATCTTTCAAGGTTTATGAAGGTACACTAGCCACCCCCCATCCAGATTCTGCTGAAAACACACTTTCTCTTCAATTATAATGTTTGCAAGTATCAATAGCATGAGATACCCCATGATTTGTGAATCCACCCTCACTGGATTCTTGGTGGTATCTGGAGAAAGCCCAAAACTTACAAGATGATGGGCTAAGACAACAATGAGCATTTACAAAGATTATGACCAGGAACGGGTATTGTTTGCCTCAGGGAAGCTATTCTTGGTAGCAGCATCATGGCAACTACAGCTTCAGCTCTAGCCCTCAGCTTGGATCTCAGCAAATCTCTGGACAGTTCCACATGTGCGGGTCTAATATAACTGCCTGTCTTAAGTACTTTTGCTTCCAAAAGTAGTTGTCACAAGAAAGCACTATTGACTGATCCTAAGAGGTTCTGAGGGAATGTGGCACAAAAGGGAGTAGAGCAATATAAAACAAACGCCCTGCTGCACAGTAAGGAAAATCTCCAATGAGAATCTACATTTCCACTACCAGCAGAGAATTTGACATGGTTGAAAATGATTAAAGCAGTTTAAGGTTAATTTACAAGGTGAAAATGTCCTTTGCTACTGCAGTTCTTCCATAAACTGTGCTATACTGTACATATCTTGCTAGCGCACATGTTTTAAGACTAGGAGGGCTAACACACAATATATGGGGGGGGGGAAATAGCCCCATGTTCAAGGAGGAGCAAAACACACACAGAGAAATATATAAAGTCCAAGAGCTTGCATACCTTTGGCAGGGAAGCCCGTGACCCTGAACTCTGTGTTGTCATGGTGAGAACTGTTGTTATTCCTAAAGCCACTCTTGCTGGTGCCGCATCCATATTGATCCAAAAGGACACCCAGGAAAGTATGACAATTAGGAGGCTGGGTATGTACATCTGAATGAGATAATAGCCCATCTGCCTTTCAAGGTGGAATCGAACTTCAATGCATGTAAACTTGCCTAGTTACAACAGAGACAAATTGTTAGCGGAATTAGCTGCGGGTTTTTTAATCAGTGGTAAGAAAAGCAATGATACAGCAATTTTAAAAAATAGCTTTCTGTTTATAACAGTTGATGAAAGTGACTAATCCAGGGGTTGGCAACCTAAGGCCCATGGGCCTCCACGCCAGAAGGAGTGCCAGAAATAGCGTTTGAGCATGCGTGCATCCGTGCGCACTCCAGCCCACCGCAACGTCTGCAGGACCAGGAACTGGCCCAAGCCACAAAAACTTTGCCGACCCCTGGACTAATCTATAATTTTTTTCAGGTTTTTCTTACTCTTTTCCATTTCTATTTAGGGGAAAAAATACATTCATATGATTCACAATATACTTAAATCATGTTACATGCCAGAGACAAACAGCGGGTAGCCTTTCAGGTCATGATTGTGAACTTCTAGAACAGGTGATACTGTTCTAGAGAGAACAGTTATGAAGAGAATGCTGGACTAGGTAGACTTTTCATCTAATCAAGCAAGGAGTTTCTTAAGAGTACTGGAGAACACAGGCTTTGGGTTATTCAATCATTTGTAACATTACTCTGACTTTTCATAATAACACTGCACAGTCACTACGCAACTTTGAAAGCCACCTTAACAGCCATGGCTTCCCCCAAAGAATCCTGAGAACTGTAGCTTGTTAACAGTGCTGAGAGTTGTTAGGAGACAGCCCACAGTGCTACAGTTCCCAGTACCATTAACAAACTACAGTTCCCAATGGTCTTTGAGGGAAGCCATGACTGTTAAAGTGATGTAAGAGTACTTTAATTGTGTGGTGAGGCTATGACCTAAGTCAATTGGAGTGCTTCTTGTGCAAATAGGTTAACCCACAATATTACAAATGTCTTCATCATAACCTGCTTCTGCATTAAGGAATCCAGTTTGAGCTTTGTACAAGGCCTGATGAAAACTGGAACATTAATTTGGGAAGACAGGGAGTATAAAGAGCAAAAATTAAATTCATGATAAATGCAGGAGAGAGAGAGAAAGACAGAGAGAGAAAGAGAGAGAGAGAGAGAGAGAGAAACTTGGGAAACTGCTTACTTAAATCATTGTTAATAATTCTCCATTTTCCCCTCTGCATGTTATTTAATCAAGGAACTCTTATTACAGGGATTGGCATATGGTTTGTTCCACAGGTTGATCAACAGAGGCAGAGGCATAGCTCTGCCAGCTGACACAAAGGTGATTAAATTTCTGTTTTGCTATCTACCCAGCTCTACTATATTTCTGTCCAGAAGCTAAAATATAGGCTAGGGTTATTCTGAACATTCCACCTTGCTGAACTTTTGGTGGGTTCACAGAGGGACCATCTTTTTTTTATTCTAGAAATAATGCTACATTATCAGGTAGCACAATTTCCAGGGATATTCCAGGGCTGGTTTGAAAGCACATGGCTTTGTAGCTACATGCCCTAGCTCTTACTTTTAACAAAGTTTTTTTTCTTTTTTAATGGATGTAAAGTCCTCAGACCACCTCTTAGTATTGTAAGCTTACTATGTACTCTCCAACCCCTCACATGACTTTCTTTCTCCCCTGGATATTGCCAAATTCCTTCCCTGTTATGCTTTTCTTTCAGAGTCCATGGATAATGGGTATTGAGACTTAGGACCCAGGTGAAAAGATGTGGTATTATTATTATTATTAATTACCCGCCCTTCACCCTAAGGTTTCAAGGTACAACAATTTTTTTAAAATAGTATGTTCCAGAATGTGTGAGATTTAGGTTCAAATCTCTGTTCAGACATGAATTTGTTGGCTTCGATTCACTGAGTCTAAAAAGAGCTCTGACAGGAAAAATGGAAGACTCCAACAATCTCCCTGATTTCATTTGTGTTTCATTGCATGCCTCTTCCCCAGCTTCTTTGGCTTTCACCCAAAACCAAACCTCCATGTACGTCTGCTCCCTTGTGTCTTTCCCTGCTTCCCTCTTGCCTTTCTTAAGCTCCTATATGTAAAATGGGCTCATAAAACTACACTTTGGATTCTTTTTTCCTACTTCAAAAGTCTGTCACTGTTTTTCCTATGAGATTATGATCCCCTTGGTTGCCACTTGGTGGTGGTAGCCATAATGTTCAGCAGACAACATCCCATCGCTTTCCACAAGCCATTTGTGCTGCTTTGTCATCACTTGTTTTGAGTACATTGCTGAATACTCCTAATGACTAACAGGAAAGAGAAACAACGGGACTTTCAGTTGTCAACAAACTACGTGATTCTTCTACCTGTGTTGTAATGCTTGGTGCAGTAACATAAATCTTTATCTTCTTTCAAGAGAAACTGTGGCAAAGTGAGTCCATCGGCCACCTGGACAGCCCCCTTTTCTTGCCACTCAAAGATGAGATCGTTCATCGTGTATCCAACTAGGAATTAAAAACAAAGCACACAGAAGATGCTGTCATAACATAAAATTTGCTTAATCTCAAGATTCCATTATGAAGTGAAATTTTCAAATTTTGCCTGAGATTTTCCTAAATGAAGAAAAGACATTTTCTTCTTTATCATTCTTCTTATTAATATTATTATTATCACCATCATCACCATCATCAGTGTAAAGTGTAGGAAGAAAAGTTTCTGACATCCTGGCTCAAATTAAGCTCAGAGTATCCCCATTAAATGTGCTGATCTATGAAATCAGTCCTTATTAATTTCATCAAAATTGAGCAGATGTTCTGAAATATTCCATCTATTTGTTTGTCTTCCATGAGGTTTTCCTTTGATGCTTAGCTGGGCAGTGATGACAACAATGCAAAAAGGTATAGTGTAAATGTTTCCTGTTTTAGTTTGGATTCCTGTGTTCTTTTGCATTTGAAGTTTTTAATAACTATCTAGAAAGCAACCTTAGCTCTAAAATGGTGTTATCATGCATATAACCTTACTGCTGTGTTTCTCAATGCACAATATCATGCAATATTACCCTATTACAAATCCATAGAAGAAGCTTACAGAGAGAGAACCACAGATGCATATATTTTATCACACCTTGTATACATTCAGATGAAAACCAGCTGTGTGTAAAACAAATTATCATTTGAAGCATGCAGATTCTAGCCAGGAGTAAAATCTCATGAGTGCAACTCATTGAACTGACAAGGAACAACTGCTATGTCAAAATGGATTTTCAGAAATGAGATTCATTCATTTAATATGTATTTTAATTATAATTATCTGCCATGGCCACTAACTCGTTCTATGTTACAATTCATTTAACTATGAAAAATGCATAGGCAATTGCTGATACAATATTTTCTTTCTACCTTTTGTCCTTTTGAAGACATGAGGCAACCTGGAATTCACTTTTTCACTGCTATGTTTTAAAATCACTAAGAAAAAGATATCAGACTAGTGAAGGTTGAGATAGTATAAATTATTCTACAGGGTTGTAGCTGGGTTGAATTTGTGCTTTTCATATATACACACTATATAGCCTGTGCCAAAACTTGCATTGCACCAGCGTGTACCTAATCTGTAACAACAGACATGCCAATTTTAATAAATCTGGCATTACGGGAGCAACAAGACAGCACCCTAGGCAGATATGCCAACAAAACACATCTAGTATTTGGGTTCCATTATCAAAAGTAAACCATTTTAGCAATATATAATAGGCACATGGAAGAGACACTTAAGGGAACCTTGGGTTCCCAGATGTTGTTGGACTAAAGTTCCCATCATCCCTAGCTAGCAAGACCTGTGGTCAGGGATGATGGCAGTTGTAGTCCAACAACATCTGAGGACACAACGTTGAGAAAGAAGGGTTTAAGGGAATGTATGCCAGCCCAGGAGCTGGTGTAAATGAAGCATCAGAAAAATCAGGAAAAGTACACAAAACACGCCTCCACCTTCGCTTTCATCCTACTGGGAGAGAGCTCAGTGGGGGTGTTTGATAAGGCAGAGAAAACAACTTCAGTCTCCTTTTCTTCTACCCCATGGTCTTATGGATGTTCACAGGAAGAAAGGTTCTTGTTCCATCCTTTCCCCCTCAAAATGCAGCTTTGGAAAGTTGAGGGGGTCGTGCTCCATCCCTCATGGCTCAGGAGGCCCCCTCAATTGTTCAGAGAGGCTTTGAGGACAATCATGTGCCTGTGAGGGTTCTTGTGTGAACTTATCTAAGGATGGAAGCCTTTAATCTTAATGTGTACATTACCCACCAAGAAGACCTGCTTTGTGTCTCCTCCATATACCTATTATACAAAAGTATGTGTTGTTTTTAAAGATGTGACCTAACACTATATAAGTCTGAGATTTTACACACTTCTTGTCTATCAAAGAATAAGGAGTGGTGGCATCAGCACTATTTTTAGGGTGTCTTTCTTCGCCAGTGTGTGATCCCAAACAATCAGGAATCTCAAGGAGAACATGGTGTCCTTGCATCACATAGCTGATCAAATTCATGGTGGTGTCACAAAAGGTAGACAAAACTTTTCCACTGTTCTCTCTCTGAATTGGGCAGGGAGAATGAATATGTTTGTACACATTACCCAGGCAACAGTTCCCTATTTTGCCCCAATGTGCTAACAGTTATATTGTTTTCCAGGGCTACGGTGCAAGAATTTTGCCAGAACCAATTTCTAGTTGCACTAGGTTCTGCATGTCTGGCTGGGTCAGATGGTAGACATAATGCAATGCAATCTTTACGTGCACCCCATTTACATTTTGCAACAATGGGAAGTTAGGATTGGTGAAAGGAATTCCACCACAGTTTCCTCCTCCACTTTCCCTGGACTTTCCCTGGACACTTCCCTTTGAACAATGGTACAGAAATTACCAAAGAGGATAGACATGTTATGTGGGATCAGACTAACACTTCATGCATTAAGTATGCAATAAATATATTATAGCACATTCCATGAAGATCCCATTCAGGTCAATGGGATTGCATTTTAAAGTGCCACATGAATATTTTCTGCTTTTGCTATAATAGACTAACATTGTCCCATACATGAAATTGGCAATGAGAAAGCTATGTATCTTTTTGCATGGTTATTTAGTTCATTTTAATTTATAATATCAAAATTTATAAGTGATCTTCATGGACAACTAGAAGACTACATAACCTATTAAAGGATGAGTGCATCATTGGCTATAGTTTAGAAATTATTGGAACAGCCTGCCAAAACAGAGTGAGACTTTGGACTGATCCTGTGAGCAGTTGGCAGTCCCCCGTTCTTTCCCAATTCAGTAAGATTAGCACTTTAGACTGCTTTGTTGATAACCGTGTCAAACTTATTTCATTTCATTGCAATCATGAGCTGACCCAAGACATATAAATATATTAGGAGAACTCTGTGTTACTGCACCAGAAATGACATCATTATCAAATACACTTTGTGCACCAGAGGGCAGAAAGTCACTGCGCTTGCCTCAGTGGGGAAGAGTGGGATTGTGAAGAGATGGGAGCAGACAAGCAGACCATGGTGTGTTCAAACAGCCTTTCAGAAACCGCCAAGCAAGCTACATTTTTGTAATTCTACATGCTTGATACAGGGTAGAACCAATAGGGATATGATTAACAGTCAGTATGATAGGATAGACTTGGATAATAAGCTTGTAGCATGATGCCTACATAGCAAAAATATCACCCATGGGCATTGTCAGGGAACTGCCATCGGAAGGAAGGGAGGTGAAAGGACTCAGACAGGTTGGAAGAGACTCAGCAGCGGAAGAGGGAACCAGCAAGGGGAGAGAAGCTGAACTGAGGGAGGTGAAAGGGCTCAGACAGGTTGGAAGAGACTCAGCAGCTGAAGAGGAAACCAGCAGGGGAAGAGAAGCTGAACTGAGGGAAAGGGAGCTGGGGGGATGGCTCAGAGATACTTCCAGCGAAAACAGTGGTGAGGTTTCCGGACCTCCTGTAGGGACACCCACTCCTCGCCGGAAACTGTCACGCAGAGAGTCCAGAAGACGTGTTTCCGTTAAGGAGCTTTTATGTTGGAAGCGATTACGAAAGCAGCCACTGTCGGAAACTTCTAGTGACTAGAGGAGCCATGTCAGAGGGGCTCAGTCACAGACAGAGGTTTGTGGACTTGAACAAACTCTGAGGGAATACGATTTTACGCACAAGCAGCTCATCTTCCCATCACAGCATTCCGACAGTCTTTGAACGCAGCTTGTGCAGGAGAAGGCATAATGAGCAACCCAGCAGGAACCGGAGAAGCAGGGGCTGGAGCGGGTCCAAGCCTGGAAGAAAGGTACCGGGTGTTGGAGGTCCAGCTGGCGCTGCAGACGGCGAGGCTGGAGGAGAGGAGGGCTCAAGATGCAGACAAAGGGAGAAAGCCACCCAGCTCGCCAGAAAGGTACCAGGATTGGTGCAGAAATTTGGGGGGGAGCCCAAAGACTATCATAGCTTTCGGACAGAAATGCAATATGCCCTCAATCTGCAGTTTGATGATTTCCCTGATGAGGAATCACGAGTGGCTTTTGTGATTGGGCATCTTGAAAAGGGGCGAGAGACTGGGTTAGACCCCTGATGGCAGCGCATAGTGACGTCCTAAAGGACACGATGAAGTTCTTTCGCGCCATGGATCTGATGTTTTCCAGCGATATTGAAAAGGGAGTGGTGCGCAGACAGTTAATGGCTTGCAAACAGGGGAGCCGATCTGTACGTGAGTACTGGACTGAGTTCACCATGCTGATACACAGATTGGGGTGGGACTTATCGGCGGAACCCATTCAAATGCTCTTTGAAGAAGGGCTTTCTTCGGCTGTGAAAGATGAACTTTCCCGGGCGCCCAGGGCGGAGTCTATGGACCAGCTGACCAAATCAGCGCTGGCCATAGGAGCGCGCCAGGAGGCGAGAGCATTGGAGAGGCGGGAAGGGAAAGGGGAACGTTGGAAGGAGTTCCGCATTCCAGACATTCCAGAGCCAACTTTCCCGCCGGCAGAGCCGATGGAAATCGGAACAGCGCGCGCGCGCGCAGTTTCAAAGCCCAGTGAGGGGGAAAAAAAGGAGGGAAAAGGCGCCCGGAAATGCTATCTCTGCCAACAGCCAGGGCACTTTGCCAGAGTCTGCCCCCAGAGGAAGGAATGGCAAGGGATGGTGGGAGCTGTGGAGGGAAGAGAGGAAAAGATACCGGAGCAACTAAAAGCCAACGCCTGGCTGCCATTGTCGGGGCACAGCAGCCAGGCCAAAGAGCAGTGAAAGTGCCCACGCCAGAACCTCCTAAACCCGCCCTAGTGATAGAAGTGACACTAGAGCTGCCAAACGGACACCCTCTAAAGATAAAGGCGCTGTTGGACTCAGGCAGCTCCTGCAATTTCATGAGCAAAGAGTTTGCAGCTGAACACCAGATACAGACGCTCCCTTTAAGCAACCCCTGCAGGTAACCACGATCGATGGCAGGGAGCTGTTGGGAGGAGAAGTCAGCTTGCAGACCGTCCCAATGATAATGAAGGTGGCAAGGCACACCGAACTAATAGCGTTTAATGTGGCCACCTTGGGAGGAGCTCCCATTATATTGGGGATGAGCTGGCTAGCGTTACATGATCCGCTGGTGGGCTGGCATCAAAGAGTGGTTTCTTTTGGGTCAGCACATTGCTTAGAACACTGCAAAGAGGGAAAGGTTTTGGCAGGGGCCCAAGCCACCCTAGCAGGGACTGAAGTAACGGAGAACGTGAAGGTACCACGACAATACGCAGATCTCCGCGACGTCTTCAGCGAAGGGAAGCTGACCAACTACCACCGCATAGAGCCTTTGACTGTCAAATCAATTTGCTCCCTGGGGCACAGCTCCCTGTGGGCAAGCTGTACGCCATGTCAGACAGAGAGATGCAGGAGCTAAGAGAGTTCATTGACAAGAACCTGAAGAGAGGGTTCATCAGAGAGTCCAGGGCGGTGGGGGGCAGCCCAGTGTTTTTTGTGGACAAAAAAACACGAACAAGCCGAGACTGGTGTGTGACTTCAGGGCCTTAAATGCAGTGTCAGAACCAGTGGCCTTCCCGATGCCCAGGATTGACGACATTTTGACAAGGGTGCGGAAGGGAAAGATTTTCACCAAGCTGGATCTAAGGGGGGCGTACAACCTGATACGAATAAGGAAGGGGGATGAATGGAAAACCACCATGTTCACCCCTTTAGGGGCATTTGAATACTTAGTTATGCCCTTCGGTCTACAAGCAGGCTCCGCAACATTTCAATCGTTTATGAACCACGTCCTGGGGCCGTTGCTTTACAAGAATTGTGTGGCCTTCTTAGACGACGTGTTGGTGTATTCTGAGAATGAGGAGCAGCATGTGAGAGACGTCAGAGAAGTGTTGAGCAGGCTGCAAGCCAACCAGCTGTGGGTGAAACTGGAGAAGTGTCAGTTTCATACCAAGGAGGTGGAATTCCTGGGGTATCGCCTGTCTGACAAGGGGTTGGCCATGGATCCCGGCAAGGTCCAGGCGGTACTGGAATGGAAAACACCCAAAACAAGGAAGGATGTGCAGAGGTTTTTAGGATTTGGGAACTTCTATCGTAAGTTCATCCCAAACTTTGCCCACCTGACGGCGCCCATTACGGACTGTCTCAGCAGTAAGAAGAAGTTCGTTTGGACGGAGGAGGCGGAGCAAGCATTTGAGGAACTAAAAAGGGCCTTCGCCTCGGAACAACAGCTCCTGCATGTGGATTTACAAAAACCGATGAGAGTGGAAACTGACGCATCAGACAGAGCGGTTGGGGCGGTGCTTCTCCAGCCAGGGAAGGAGGAGTCAGAGTGGAGACCGTGTGCTTTTTTTCCGCGAAAGCTGAACAAATCCGAGAGGAACTACACGGTGTATGACCGAGAACTACTAGCCATTCATGAGGCGTTCCGGAGATGGAGGCACCTGCTAATTGGCGCACAACATAAGGTGCAAGTGTGCACTGACCACAAGAACCTAGAGTATTGGAGGACGGCACGAGTGCTCAACCAACGGCAAGTGAGGTGGGCCCAGGAATTCTCCAAATTTAACTTTGAGATTTGTTACGTGCCAGGCCCAGAGAACATTAGGGCGGACGCTCTCTCACGCAAACCTGAATATTTGGAGGGGAGGGAGCACCCGAAGAGAGACATGTCATTCCAGAGGACCGCTGGGTGTGTGGGGCGGCATTGGTGGGACAAAGAGAACTGGTAGAAGAAACAGAGAATGATGAATACGCCCAGAATAAGCTCAGAGGTCTTAGGGATGAGGGAGAGGAATCAAGGGGTTTCGAGGAAAGAAATGGAGCTTTGTATTACAAAGGGGCACTGTATATCCCTGAAGGAGACTTAAGGGGAGGGTACTCAAGCAGTTGCATGACAGCCCCACGGCGGGGCATTTTGGGCAACACAAAACCATGTGGTTGGTCACCAGGGAATTTTGGTGGCCTAAGGTGAGGGAGGATGTACGTGAGTATGTAAGAGGGTGCGAGCAGTGCCAGCGAGCCAAAGGGGAAAGGCGGGCGCCGGCGGGGCTATTAGAACCCTTACCAACCCCAGAACGACCTTGGGAGGCAGTGTCGATAGATTTTATGACTGATCTGCCGAAGTCCAAAGGGAAAACAGCCATCATGGTGGTGGTAGACCTACTAACAAAGATGTGCCACTTTGTAGCTTGCTCGCATGCAGTCACGGCGGAAGAGACAGCGAAGTTATTTGTAGAACACATTTTTAGGTTGCACGGGGTGCCATTGAGGGTGGTCTCAGACCGAGGAAAACAATTTACTTCCAGGTTCTGGAGGAAGCTCATGAGCTTACTGCAGGTGGAGGTCAACTTTTCGACTGCCCGGCACCCTGAAACCAACGGGCAGGCGGAAAGAGCAAACGGTGTCCTCCAGCAATACCTGAGGTGTTATGTCAATGACAGAGAGAATGACTGGGTAGAAAAGTTGGCGCTGGCGGAATTTGCCTACAACAATGCCGAGAATGTGTCCACAGGGATGAGCCCCTTCTTGGCTAATTATGGGTGTCATCCCAGGGCTTTCCCAGGGGAGAAGGGGAGAGATGGAGCGTACCGGCAGCCGAGCATTTTGTAGAAGAAATGGAAGCAATCCACCGTCAGCTCCAACTCAACTTAGAAAGGGCGAAGGAAGAATACAAGAGGCAGGCAGACAAGAACCGAAGGGAAGGTGAAACCATAAGGGTTGGAGATAGGGTGTGGCTGTCAACCCGAGGGTTGCCGTTCAAAGGAGGTTGTAAGAAATTAAGACCCAGGAGGTTGGGTCCCTTTGAGGTCATTCAACAGGTCAACCCAGTGGCTTTCAGGCTCCGGTTACCCAACCACATGAAACTGCACCCAGTATTTCACAGGTCGTTACTGTCACCGTACGAGGGGGGACGAGAAGGGATGGCCACTCGGGGACCGGTCATAGAAGAAAGAGAATGCAGCAGTCATGTGGCAGAAATCCTTGATGCCAGGTGGAAGGGGAATCAGGTGGAGTATTTGGTAGCGTGGGAAGGAGAACCGGGTCAGAAAACACGTGGGTAATGGCCGAAGATATCAATGACGAGGTATTGATAGAAACGTTCCATCAAAGGTTCCCGAGGAAACCTCAGCCTGTGGAGAGGTTCCGGAGGGAATACTTTGGGACCACTGAGGAGGAGGAGGAGTTGGAAGGATTCCCAGAATCGGAAGGGGAAGGGGAGATGGACTCGGAGGAGGAGGAGTGCTTCGAGACCAGGAACCGCAACAGGTGGAGAGAAGTGTTCGAGACATCGGAAGATGAAGGAAGTTCATTCCGGGGTTTGCCTCCTCACCGCCCGTAGAGGAGGGGGCGAGAGGGGGTGAAGGGGGCCCTGGAGGGGAGGTGGATGTCAGGGAACTGCCATCGGAAGGAAGGGAGGTGAAAGGACTCAGACAGGTTGGAAGAGACTCAGCAGCGGAAGAGGGAACCAGCAAGGGGAGAGAAGCTGAACTGAGGGAGGTGAAAGGGCTCAGACAGGTTGGAAGAGACTCAGCAGCTGAAGAGGAAACCAGCAGGGGAAGAGAAGCTGAACTGAGGGAAAGGGAGCTGGGGGATGGCTCAGAGATACTTCCAGCGAAAACAGTGGTGAGGTTTCCGGACCTCCTGTAGGGACACCCACTCCTCGCCGGAAACTGTCACGCAGAGAGTCCAGAAGACGTGTTTCCGTTAAGGAGCTTTTATGTTGGAAGCGATTACGAAAGCAGCCACTGTCGGAAACTTCTAGTGACTAGAGGAGCCATGTCAGAGGGGCTCAGTCACAGACAGAGGTTTGTGGACTTGAACAAACTCTGAGGGAATACGATTTTACGCACAAGCAGCTCATCTTCCCATCACAGGCATCAAAGTCTTATTTCTGCAGCCTACCTTCTAGGATGGCCATATTTTGAAGAGGAAAAAAAGAGGGCACTCTGACTACTCTGATTTTAAATACCCCTACTATATTTAGCCTATAGATGTTGTGATATCTTGCTGAGGGGGTGGGTAGGAGAAGAGAAGAGGAAAGCAAGTTTTCAACCACCAGTTATGTCTAGATCTCATCGAAAAAGTATAGACAGAGACATTTTGGCAAATTTGAAAAATCCACTCAGAAGGAATTTAACCCCTGAAAAAGAAGTGCCCTGGAAAAAGAGGCACATAGTAACCCTACTTATCTCTAAACTTTGACTATGTGCCACCTGCAGCCCAGTCATCCTGGATAAGAAACAAGTCCTCTTCAGGCATTGTCTCCACACAATCCAATTCCTGTGGAGGAAGGCAGTGGAGACACATCCACTTTTCCTGCTGCCATCATCACATCCTTGTGGCCTGCCCCTCCATTGCCCACATGTTGGGGTAGTGTCTGAAGAGTGGCACCTATTCTATATGTGCCAGAGGTTCTAAAGCACAGGGAGGCAAGCAGGCTCTTTCTTCAGATAGCCACCAGGGGTATGGGATCTGTGGAAACGCTAAGGAGATAGTGGGGCAGGAGACACAGCTCCATTCTCTTCCTCCATGTGATTATGGTCCATGAATAACCATAGTTTAGAGGTCCCGGGCCCTAAGGAAGTCAGACTATCCTCCACCAGGGCCAGGGCCTTTTCAGTGATGGCTCCGACCTGGGGAATGCTCTGTCCCATGAGACTAGGGCCCTTCAGGATTTAACCTCCTTCCGCTGAGCTATTCTGCCTAGCCTTTAATTTGGATTCAGCCTGATCTTTTATTTTCCTTCTCTTCCCTCCCCCTCCCCTTTTATGAACATTACCCGCTCCAAGACCCCACAGCTAATTCTCCCCTGGCCTCCTCACTGGCCCAAGTAGGACTAATTCAGCCAGCTAGCCCTGGTGACTAATGTTTATTAGATGGATTTCCTCCAAATTGATTTCTGAACTTTGAATTTTATTGTTATTCATGTTTTTATACTGTATTTTATACAGCTTTTACAATTAAGTGTTTTAAATTTGTTCTTAGCTGCCCTGAGTCCGGTTTTCTGAACCAGGAAGGGCGGGGTATAAATAAAAATGTATTATTTATTTATTATGATGATCATGTGGAGGAAAATGCCTTAAACTATGGTGAGGGGCTTTACTAGGGAAATTGGTGACCTATATGTGTCCCACAAAGCCTAGTCTGGTCTACATGTTGATAGCTAATACAAGTGGTGGACTCTGTGGCCTTAAAATAGAAAAAAGGAAAACTGGAAGAAATCTTTAATTTTATTTTTCAATGTTACTTTTCCATTCTGCAGAATGACCAGTATTTATTGCTGGATGCCACCCCCTTCTCTTAGTTTTATCATATACACAAAAGTGCCCTCAGCACAATGGAAGGCTCCATAGTGTTTTTGTATAGGAAGCTTTTGTTCACAAAGAGCTCGATTGGTTTAGACATTTTGCCTTATAGTTCTCTGAGCCGAAGTGACTTATTTGAGTTCTGTTCTCATTATTTTTTTACAAATTACTATTTAGGGCACATGTTCCAGAGCAGCTTTGCTTTGCTGACTGAATCTGAGCGGATCTCTAGGAATCCCGCTGTGGTTCAAAAATATCAAAATGTTGACTGCAGTGATTTTACTACTTTTCGGCAAAGCAACCCAATGACATGCCTTTAGCAGGCCCAAATGCACAAGGCTCTACTTGAAGAGTAGAATTCTAGGAGCTAGATATATCAAAAATGCTTTTCAGTGTGACCCAGGTTCCACTGAGAAAAACAAGTGGATACTATGGTTTAACATTCCAGCCCGCTTATTCTAGTCTGACTGGTGGACGATCACTAGTATTAATATAAATCTCACATACATACAATATATATCACCCAATACTTGTCATTTTCTGCTGTCCCATATCAGGACCATTACAACTACCAGTAGCGGGGCAATTTGGCTATAACAAAGAAAATATGAAAGAGAAGGCATCAGTGACTGTGTTTCCATTCTCCAAAATTTGGGGTCTCATTCAAAGAGGTTGGGGAGATGAGTATTTTCTTCATGCAGAAACGAAACAAGGGGATCATTATAATTATTTAGGATTGATTTTTTGGCGTAATTCACATACTTTGGCCACTAGACTACTGCTCATTCAACCAGACTTCCCTTTTCTTTCTTCCCCCTCAGAACCTCTCATGCTCCCCAAATTAGCTTTGGAGGGTCCTAAAAGCAGAAGGAGAGGAAGGCGGAGGTCTGATTGTGCAGAGGGAAGTCCATTCCACTTCTGCATGGATACCATTGGATATCACCCATTACTGCCTATAATATTTGATCCATATAACATCAACATGAAACATGATGCATTTGAAGAAGGCAGCTTTTGCCTATGAAAGCTTATGCTGCAATACTTAAGTTGCTTTCAAGGTGCCACAGGACTATGTGCTATGAACATGAGAATACTATGTTCACACTTACAGCTTTCCAGCTGCATGATACATGTTTGGACATCCATTGGGAAATTTTTGAGGTCCATTGGGCAGGAGAGTATTAAAGTCAATCTGAAAGAATACAGAAGAACTATTATAAAGCGAATGTTGGCCAACACACATTGTCACATATTCAAAATTACTACACACACATCCATTATTCAATAAAGAACAAGAGTCTTGGAAAGCAGGCAGGTGTACAAACCATTTAGGCATTTGGGAAATAATATGAAGTCAATATGCTTAATTCGTGGAGAAAAAATAAGGTTTTCAATTCTACCTTACTTGGAAGTAAACGCCATGAAAATAAATGGAGCTTACCCCCTGAGTAAGTAAGTTTTTCACGACAGCATTTTCTAAATACAATTCCTGCCCTGATCGAATTGTATTGTAGCCTAGACCCTAATCCTGCAAGTCCATATTAGTTGTTTGTGATATTACAACCAACAGCAATTTAAGTCTTTCAAATAAAAGCCCTCTGAGCCTGCTGGAGGAAACCTTCTGTTTCCTACAAGGAAAGATGATCCTTTATGATTTCAGGGAAAGTGTTGCACTGCTATCCTCTGTCTACAGGTGCCAGAAAGGTAGAATGAGTTAATGGAAGAATCCCCTAACAAGAGTGAAAATGAAGGACCTTTGGAAAACAACATTCACAGAGTTGTTTTTGGTCCCCCCCCCCCCCGGGGAGGAACCATCTAAGAAGGGGTGAAATCTAAACAATGTTACACTTTGCACAACGTTGTCCAATGATCTACACATAGATTTCTCAATCTGAAAAGAATAGTGCCAGAACTGGCTCTGTGTGTGTCTCCCATTTCATAAAGGCAGCAGGGAAAAGTCACTTTGTGTCTGAGACCTGATCAAGGGGCAGCTATTACTGGGTGGTTAACTTTCTGGATCATGGTCAGAACTTGGGTCCAAGTCAGGTCTTGAACCAAGAACCTGAGAAACATGTAGCAGAGATTTCAAACCCAGGTTTGATAGTTACTTCAGTTCCAATACCTTTATCTGTTTAATAGATTTTATGCTGCTGCTACATGATTGTGGTCATGGAGGGGGAAAAGGCAATTCTGCACAGCTCTTATTTATTTGACTTCACTTTAAATGTTTTCATAGTTCTCTTAAAACTACTATTATCTGCTACATATGCTTAACTGAGTCATCAACACACCCCAAATGGTGGGAAAGACGACTTCTTTTTAACACACATTGCATACTTACACTATGGACTTCACTAACACTAGATAGCCACCAGCTTAGATGATTTTAAAAGATTATACAACTTCATGAAGACAAACAGCTACTAGTAACATGCTACCCTCCTGGATCAGAGGCAACATGCCTATGAGTATCAGTCACCAATACCAGGCAACAGCAGGAGAAAATATTGCCCTCATGTCCTGCCTGCAGCCTTCCTATAGGTATCTGGTTGGTCACAGCTGAAGCTGGATGCTGGACTGTTTAAGATTTGGCCTGATCCTGCAGGGCTTTTCTTACATCATGTTTTTTGCTCTTATTTTGGTAACTGCTGATCTATTGTGGTCAACAATATATGAGAAATTAAATATTACAAATCTCTAGACATCTAGAAGTGAATAATCACTGAACTGTTACTGAAATGAATTAAGGAATTCAGAGTAGACATTTATTTAAGACTTCCATTCACAGTACTACTTTACCAGAGAAAAGACTCACCCCTAAAAAAGAGACACAACTCTTATTAGCACAACACTTTTCTCCCACATCTAAGCTTTAGTTTGTTAATAGAAGGCTAGAACCAGTAAATAAAACTAAAAATAATGGGTTGTGGGTTTTTTTTTTCCTTTCAGAAGAAAATTCAGCAGTGAGACCTCTGTGTTCAATTGAAAGAAATGGCCTCTACATGGAACCATGGCATTTTAAACAGCCTCCAGTTATTTCACCAATTGAATTACATATGGATGACTTAGAGAAATCAGCCTATGTCCTTGTATCTATGTATGTGAACAATCCACAACAAGGGAATGCAGTGACTGTTTTCATTAAGGGAAAGTGTACCGCATCCAAACTAAATCATAACCTCATTGCTTCCATATCACATCAGAGCCTTTTATTTGCAATTTACCTGATGGAATAGAGAACATTCCCATTTTTAAAAATCCGTAGCAATTTGTTGTCTGTTGTTACTTCATGAAAATTGGCGCCTTTTTCATTGGCAAAGAACAAGTCAGGTTTCCAGATAGAGTCCAACATAGATGGGTCCAAATCTAGAGAGTCATCTGGATATTCACTATAAGCAAGACGGGGGTCATTCCAGTTCTGACGGAGAAAGATGTTCACACGATAATCCTAAAATAAAACCAAAAGTATTTAGTGTTTTTAGCTCCAACCTTTCATTTGGTTGAATAATATGGAATTTACTAGCTGTATCCTTTAAATAAACTTAACTCCCTGGAGTCCTTGATTATATTACTCATCCCTGGCTTCAACCTTATACTGTTTAGTCACTGAACATAATACTGTATTAAAACCTAAATTGCATTACAAATATTAATCCATCAATTTGGAAAGAAATGGTCACAGTCCTGAAACACTAATTATTTACAGAGAATAAAGCTGAAATGATTCAAACATGTATTATTTTGTACAATCAAAGAGTAGATTTATATTTACAGAGGTAATTTGCTTTCCTGTAAGAGGATTATTATATAATAATTCAGTTTCTTCTTCTCTTCTCAATTAGTATTAATGGACAAGAAATAAGCCTGACCTTATATAAGCCTAACAGAACATGTGCGTGAAGTACTTTCCCAAAACTCTGGAGAGATATTTGGGGGACTACAATATACTGTTGTATGGCATGCCATTGACATTTTTCAATGAACTCAGCAGCTTCAGGTGTGGGGTAAAGAAGGGAGAAGGCAAATCCTCCTGGATAAGGAGTTGCCTCCTTTGTTCCTAAGGTTTTTCTTAATGGCTGCAAGGGCCAGTGCAGTGTAGTAATAAGAATGCATGAAGATGTCTCAAAATGTCACAAAACAATGTGCAAATGATAAACATATAATATCCAAGAGTGATGCAAATGTATATTGGGAGCTCGTAGTGTAATACATTATGAGGACTGGGATAGCTGATAGTAACTGTGAATGAACAGAAACAAACACAATAGTTGGAGATGTGAGCGTTGAGGGTGAATCCATTGTGGGGAAAGCTGGATAGTGAAAGACAAAATATAGCCCTCCTGGTGGTAAAACAAGTAGATTATTTGTGCATTTGTCTCTAGCCAGTAGAAATATATATGAATCTGGAATAAATGGGGAGGGGGGGCGTATAGTGGAAAAATTATGAAGTGCAAGGTTTTTTACCCCAGTAATTATGTTTTAGACATTAATTTCCACTCTTTCTTTTCCATGTCCATTTTCCATTTCCCCTTTTCAAAAAAGGGAAAGTGCAACATTTATATGACGATTATATTTACTAATAGTTTACAGTGCATGTTCACCTGATACATTTTGACAGCCTTTCTAATTTTAGGAACAACTCAGTGAGCCATCAAGGCAGAATCAAAACCCCTCCGGAAATTTTGCACTTTCTCTAATAAAGCCTATGAGAGTGCCCTCAAATTTGGAAGTTTAGAGACGACCTCCCCCGCTGTTCTGCTGGGGTAGCATATATGCTCAGTGACATTATTCTTCCCATACATCTTTTATTCCTTTAGACTAGAAGTGAGAACACCTTTTTTTAAAAAAAACAAATCTCTTGATAGTAAAATCCTTTACGTAGAATAGTTGTCGTAAGTGTGTGATGAAGAGACCGAAAGCTGGCAGCGCTGTCAGTAGTGTGAGTCACAATAGTGCTGCTAATTTCATCAAGGTCATGCAATCAAAAGAACTGGGCACATTTCAAGGGAACAATAGGCTTGCACAAAACAATTGCTTTTCCTGCTGCACCAGCCCTTAAAGGAACCACCGCAGCTCCTTTCCTTATCACCCTCCTTTTGCTTCATTTCAATATTTTCTTCTTCTTCTTTGCTTAAAACACAAACACAAAAGCAGCACCTTTAGCTGGTTGAATGAAATCTCCAGCATCCCCTGACCTTCTAATTTCATTACCATTTGCTCAAACTTGGATGAGCACATTGGGTGCATGTGCCAACACCCCCAAGCAGCCTTAGCGTCTAATCTTTTTAAACCTCACATGGTAGAACTGCATTCTATAATTAAAAATACAATGAATGGTTTGCAGTTAATTTGGATTGCATGCTTTACATGCTTACAACACAGAGATGTTTTTAAAAATCACAAAATGTTGTTGGACTAGGGCAAAGGATGAATGCAGCCTCGTTTCCTCAAACTGCAGACTCTTACAGTGGGTCCCTCCCAGGAATCGCACGCTCTGTGCCACAAGGTTAGCTTACCAGAGGAGGGAGCTGACAACCTCTTCTCTGCTGTACTTTGATGCAAATATAGTAGCTCGAAATAGGACAGTATTGTAGGAGTCCGGGGCAGAGCTGAGCTGAAACAGTGTCTTTGGTTTTGTTTTCAGTTTCATTATTGCCAAAAAGCACTTCCGTTTTTCAGTGCATTTTCCACAGCTTCCTGAAATTTCATTTATTTTTCAGTTAAACTCTGCACATTAAACCTCAGACACAGCTGTAAAAACCCTCAAAGGATGTTTGTTTAAGACTCTATGGTAGTGTTCAGGCCCTGAGCTAGCCCAGGGATGGATGAATCAGCTTGTTTCCTTACTGTGCTCACTCATAATTCTGTTCCACCCTGTTTCCACATTAATCTGTGATCTGCATGCATATTTGCATAGTATTTCAAAGACACATTTCTTCTCCAGATAAGCATTTCATTTCTAAAGCTAGGATTTCTCAAAATATATATTTTGAAATGCAATTTAAAAAAGAAGACAAGAAATGTGTCACCGCAGAGCAAATCTGATAGACAGCTATGTTCTGATCGACAGATTACTCCAAGAGGTGCAGACCAGGTCAGTTCATATCAGGATTCACCAGAACAGAATTCCTCCTGCATCCTTTGCTCATCGTGCATAGCTCAGGTGAACTCCAGAGCTTTTGAAGCAAATGAACTGTGCAGACAGGCATGTTGGAAGCTCTCAGACAGAACAGAAATGCTGTGACAACTAATCCCTAATCTTGTGTAACCAAGCCCAAGGAAGCTCCACACCCAAAATTGCTCTTGAAACTTCTTTGCTATGTAGGGCTGCCAAATCTTTAATCAGCTCCTACTACTTTGTTTATAAAGCAACATCATCTGCAGGCAGGTGATAATATTTATCTCCATGCTGTGAAAAGCAGCTTCACTTATTGATTTTTTTCGGAGTAGCTCAAACTGCTGGTCAGACTGTTTAGCTTTGATCTGGTCAATTGGCAATGCTGGGAGGGGGTTTTTTTTTGGGGGGGGGTCTTTTCCGCTTCTTTGCCCACCAGCCATTTAACCAGCAGCCATTTAACCTCTACAGCTGCCACCATACAATGCTCAGAAGGTGATGGAATGGGAAATAAGGTAAGATCAGAACAAAAAGAATTTTGTCTCACTCATATAAATAGTAGGTAGGCAGTCATCAATATCTTTTTAGATTATCTTGAATCTTTGCTGTCTACAGAATTAACGATTGGAGAAACAAGTCTCTTTTCGGATGGTGAAAGAATTTATTTGACAGACAGGCTCAATAATGAACCATGTACCTAAAGGTGTGATTACTGACTGTGACAGCAGGCGTATGGATTTTTAAAAATGTAATCCCTGTGTTTATCGTCAGTGCTACTGCAAACCAGTCACCAGGGAAGTGAACTGTGGCAAACAATTTGCTAAAGGCCTGCTTGGTAAAACACACAGACTTTTTGCTGTTTTCTATGTACCATCAGTAAGCTACCAAAAAATAAATAAAAAGGCGTGGGAGCCTGATCCTATGCATATTTACTGACTGTGTTCAGTGGGCAAAGAACAACAGTGCTGGAGTATGATGTTGTTGTATCCTTTGTGTGTCTCTTGACTCATCTAACACTTTACAGTTAGAATTCAAAAGTGACTAAAACTATGGAATGCACTTGCTGATACACTGTAAATGGTTCTAAAGGTAAAGGGACCCCTGACCATTAGGTCCAGTCGTGGACGACTCTGGGGTTGCGGCGCTCATCTCGCTTTATTGGCTGAGGGAGCCGGCGTACAGCTTCCAGGTCATCTGGCCAGCATGACTAAGCTGCTTCTGGTGAACCAGAGCAGCACACGGAAACGCCGTTTACCTTCCCGCTGGAATGGTACCTATTTATCTACTTGCATTTTGACGTGCTTTCGAACTGCTAGGTTGGCAGGAGCAGAGACCAAGCAACAGGAGCTCACCCCGTCATGGGGATTCAAACCGCCGACCTTCTGATCGGCAAGCCCTAGGCTCTGTGGTTTAACCCACAGCACCACCCGCATCCCACAGTACATAAGTGGTTCTAGCTGTACATAAAAAAGGCAAAATGATTATATCCACTTTGAAGCAGAAGAGAAGGAGTAGATTTTTCAACATATTATTAGAAGTTTATTGTGCATAACAGCAGCAAGGGTGACATGTTGCATCCTTCAATTTAATTAAGGGTAGCGAACATGTCGCTCCACCGCAAGAGTTCCACAAGACATATCTTTATGTGTATGGTAGACCATCTTCATAGGGAGGGACACTTGGATAGCAGAGGACAGTTGCAGGGAAAGTGCAATGATATGTTTTATAGGGTTTGTTAAGGATAATGGTGCCATAGTTTCATATTCATCCTTTTCACTAAGCACCTGCAGGCAGTTTACTGATGCTCAAGAATAGCAGCCATATTGAGAAAAAAAATGGCAGACCCATTCCTAAGGCTACTATTGCATATATCTATACTCAGATTTGCAAAGAATGGCAAAGAATCTGGAGCATGGAGAAATTATATTTACATGTTATTTGTCTCAAAAGTTTTCTTAAATGCATCTTCAGTTGATTTAAAACAAAACAGAACAAAACATGGGAGCAAGCTAAATGAAAGACAGAAACTTTGATAGTAAATACTTTAGTATTTACTGTATGCAGGGGATGCGGGTGGCGCTGTGGTCTAAACCACTGAGCCTCTTGGGCTTGCTGTTCAGAAGGTCAGTGGTTCGAATCCCTGTGATGGCGTTAACTGTCCCAGCTCCTGCCAACCTAGCAGTTCGAAAGCATGCCAGTGCAAGCAGATAAATAGGTACCACTACGGCAGGAAGGTAAACGGCATTTCCATGTGCTCTGGTTTCTGTCACGAAGTTCCGTTGCACCAGAAGTGGTTTAGTCATGCTGGCCATATAATCTGGAAACCTGTCTGTGGACAAACGCCGGTTCCCTCAGCCTGAAAGCAAGATGAGCGCCGCAACCCCATAGTCGCCTTTGACTGGACTTAACTGTCCAGGGGTCCTTTACCTTTACCTTTTATTTACTGTATGCAAAATATTGTACTTCAGTTTCCACCTGAGAATAACTTTATATTGGTTTCTTTCATTTACCTTGGTAATCACTTCACACAAGAGTTAACACAGCAGATTCAATTTTGAGTGTGCAACAATTTCTGTTACCATCATGCAATTTATGCATATCTATACAGTTGCCCTTATTGTGTCAGATGCTTCCCTGGCTTAATTTGTGAACATACTGGGACCAGTCTAAACATAATACGTGTTAAAAACAAAAAGTAGCCAGAGGGAAATAATTTTTCCAATGTCTTCGGCATTTAGCTGTCTCTCCAAGTGTGTAGGTTAATCTCAGCTTGATATATAGATGATTTTACCCTTAACTCCTATTAGAGTTAATGGCACTTAAACTCGTAAATCCCTCTCCATCAGCATAATGCACTCTTCTAGCCTATATTCCTTTTGCAGCTGACAGTTTATTTTCAGTCTTCTTTCAGAGCCAAAAGTCACAGAACTTTACAATAATGTGAAATCCGAAATAAACACAGAAGCAAAACAACCTGCCAACTTCTTAACCATCCATGGTAGTTGCACCATTAACAGCTGCTTGATGTGCATCCTTCAGCAGGTGACAATGTTTATTTATCTACAGTGAACAAAAAGATTTGCCTGTTGATGTCTGCCAAGCAAGTGGTTGATGAAGGCTTTAAAAAAAATATTCTCCGGCTATTGCAGATACAACATTCTGTTAAATTTCTTCTCAGGACCAATGGACAACTGAAGCCTGAGACTTTCTATGAAAGTTTCCACAAAGCTTCTATGGGTAGTCTAAAAGGTGGTGTTTCTAACATTTATAGAGGTCTTTTATCTTGTTTAATGGTTTCCAACATGAGTTTAAAAGGAAGTATGGGAAGCTGATATCGGTTTGACAATAGATGATAAAACTTGGCAAGCATTGTGGCAAAAGCCTCCAATTAGTGTTATGTTTCCTATCCATGATGAAAGTAATGTTATGCTAGTATTTTACCCCTGCTAAAGTTGCTAGGAAAAATGCTGGTCTTTCAAATATATATTGGAGAGGGTGTCGGGGGTGGGGATTATTCCACCCCTCTCTTTTTGTTTTATTTTAAAACTAGTAAAAGTGTAAAAGAAAAAGTCAGGCCTCAATTTTTTCTCAGTCCATTAAAAACCCCATACATTATCATTTCCTTTATTATTATGGTGCTTCAGTTCCTGAACACTCAACAACAGTTGCCCTCTCAACCACTTAATTCATTTTTTTAAAATAATATTTATTACTTTTAAACCTTACAAAAAGGAGAAAAGAAAAGAAGAAAGAAAAGGAAAGGAAAAGCAAAAAAGCAAACCCCCCCCAAAAACCCAATACAGTACAATATATAAACAATACACAACACAACATTAACATTAACACACATCATACCATCTCAATATCCTCTCTTTCATTCCCTTGTTTCATCGACCTCCTCTCACCTCCCTTTTTGTATTTCATTTCTATTAATTATTTCAGCAAATCCTTTCCATCTTTCTCTATTTTCTGTCATGTGATTATCTTAACATATTTTAACCTTATTTTCCATTAATACTATAATACTTATTTATGCTTAATTCCTTAAAACATTTCTACTAAAGCCATATAATTCCCTTCCAACATTTTTCTAACACTCATTAATTTTACATTATTTCCATATATAGATTTTAAACTTTTTCCAATATTCTTCCACCGTCTCTTCTCCCTGGTCTCGGATTCTGCCAGTCATTTCCATCAATTCCATATAGTCCATCAACCTGGTGATCTTCTATCCGAGGCTCTTAACTCTTTTCCAAGTCCCTTCTGCAAGTCTTCTTCATATTTATACATGCACTTTACTTTGTCTTCTCCTGATCTTGTTCTTATTTTCCTTCCTTTGATGCTGAAAAGTAGATCTCGGGGAAATTCCCATCTAGCAATGTTTTTATTCCTTCTCGACAAATCAGCCAAATCTCCGTAGTTAAAACTGAAATTCAAAAGATATTTCCAGTCGTATTTCAAAGTTCCTCAAAGTCTGGCGGTGCCCACAACTCCAGTCTCCTCCTGACCCAAGTCCAGGTCCCAAAGGTCAATAAATCCCTGCATGAGGGGATCTATCCAACTTTCCTTCTTCAGTCCAAGCGGGGCTCCAATCCTCAAAGTCTGACTTTCTCTAAATTCAGTCTTAAAAGGCATCAACTTATAGTCATCAAATTGTATCTGTAAGGCTGGGGCTCTCTCCCTCTCCACTTGTGCAGCTTTAGGTTCCACAACAACCACGTTCTCCCCCGCCTTCTCCTCAATTTGCCATGTCAAAATAGATCCCTGTATCGATTCCTGAGTAATTTCTGTATTAATATTCACTTTTTGTGCCAAATTAGTCACTTTTTGTTCCAAGTTATCAATTTTTATAGTCCTCGCATCCATCTTCTTATGGAGCTGTTCCAGTGAATCATTAATCTTACATAATGCAACCACTAAGGCTTCTTCTGTCAACATTCTTAACGGCGCAAGGTCAATCCCAGATTCTCACAGTTTTATCTTGCAGGTGGAAATTTCCCCAGCTCAGCTCATGTAACAATTTCAAAGGCTTCCTCTAGGGGGAAACAATTTCTATTTGTATCAATCCTTTTAAGCACAGTTCAGACAATAAAGTTAGCTTCAATTTTCAATTACTTTTACTCCTTTTTAAACGCAGAAGGAGACAATGGAAACAATATATTTCTCTTCTTTAACTTACTGTCAACAAACGATCTATTCACAGTCAATGAGCATATCCAAAACTTCAGTCTTACTGGCAGCCCGTTTCCAGGTTCAGAGCGGTGGTAACTTAACTTTCTTCACTCTCTCCTGCAGGCTTACGCGATCTAAAATTTCCCCCCTCTTCTCCTGCTTCCAAGGGGGGTTTGATGATTTAGCCGCTGGAAGTTTAATCCTTTATGAAAGGCTTTCCAAGACTTTAGCTTGCAGCCTCTTTGCTTCAGTCTATATACAAAAGGGGAAGGTGGACTTCCTGTTTGAAACCTCCCCGTTTCAGTGCCAGATTAAGACGTTTAAAAATCCAATTTTCCGTTCTACTCACGGGTAGTTGTTTTAAGATCAAATTGTCCACAGGAAAAATCAGCGCTCTCTGGCAACAGCAATGCGGCTTCACTCCGTGAAAGAAGCAGTCAATTCGAAGCACCGCGCCACTCACCCCACGTCGCTCCAGATCCCCGAAACTGGGTTTCCCCACGAGTAGGGGAGGCGCAAAAGGTGCCAGCCGAATCCCACGTTCACAGGCTTCTCCCGCCTGTGATTTTTGGTGGGTCCCCGCCTTCGCCGTGGCGGTCAGACCCTAATTTCAATGAAGCAAATTCCTCCCGATCAGAGGAGTTCAGCCATTACCGGAGGCGCTAACCCGGAAGTTCTCAACCACTTAATTCAAAGCAGTCTTATTGACTTTCGTCTGCTCATTATGAGTGATGTATGGTCTGCCACATTTTGCCTTTTGAACACACACAAGGCGTGTAGCCACTTCTTTTTTACACCAGCAGCATGCAACCCGGTGCCCCCACATGATGCTGATCTACAGCCTCTATCATCTCTGACCATTGATCATAGCTGGGGTTGACAGGGGCTGGAATACAAACACATTACTGGGAGGGCATCACATTGTTCATTCATACTCTCTGTACCCTGGATTGTCAATGAAATGCAAAGCTACACACTTGCTTCTCATGAATTTTGGGAGTTTTCTGGAGGCCAGCTGGGCTAGCAGCTTTGGAGTTGGGACAGCTGAGGTTGTCACATCCAAACAATAATTGTCATTTTTGCTGTTCAGGCTAGGCACTGCTGGCAATCATCTCCCTGTGTCTTTAAGTCTATTTTCTCAGTATGAAACACTGGGAGTGAAAGTTCCACTTGTTGAGTTTTTATTTGTCACACAGCAAGGTACATGGAACCTGCCAGAAGTGAGTTAGCATGCAAGCCTAATTTCCTAGTTCTTCTTCAAAATGTGAATAATGTGTTTCCAAGGCTGACTCTCTCTATGATTATGAGATTAATAGCCTCTTTGACCTGAGTTTTCTAAGAATAAGACAACTAGACAGCCTCACACAAAAGAGCAGATCTAGTGCCAGCTTCAGCATGCAAGTCAGATCAGTCACTTCCTGTTCCTGGTCCAGTCAATGTGCTTATTAGCAGCCAGCCTTGAAATGCCTGTGAGGAAAAGCTTGGCAGGACTAAGCAAGAGACATGGTTCCTTTACACAGATAATTGGCTCCATTAAAGTCGCTTGCTGTTCGATCCCTTTCCAAGTGTCAATGAAACAGTGGCACATTTACTAGTCTCTTAGGATCTGCTGCTTATTTCAGAAGTGCTGTAGTATTCTGTTAAGCAGCTTAAAAACAACGAGGCACAATCTCTCACATTTCGGGAGATCGTCGCAGAACTATGGCAAGGGTCACTGGCAGGATCTAAAGAAAGACTTCCTGAAGAATGGGAGGTTCCTGCCTCCTCTCCTTCTAACCCAATGTGACATGTAACAACCACGAAAAATGCCGAAGGGCACAATATATTGATAACGAGAAGAGGAGTCTACAATAAAATAGGCAAAAAAATCATTACAGTTTCAAAACATACATCCCAGCAAGACGTACAAAGAACCATATAGCACAAACATTATTAGTGTATATATGTCTCTCTCATATCTGTCTCTACAGCCACAGCAGGTGTTGCAGACTTCTAACAGTATGACTTCACCCCCAAAGGCGCATTTCTCCATAGTATCCTGGGACAGATGGATGCCAGACCCAAGAATTCTCTAAGAAGCTGATGAGAGGCTTCCAGGTAAGATCCTGTTTGAAAGAACTTCCTAAGATGGTAACATCTTTAAAGCATTTTAAGGCCCTGATTGTAGTTTCCACAAATGGGTGGGGATACTTCAGGAATGGTTAACTCTCCCAACTAACTTGATTCCAGGAGGGCAAACCCACTGAAGGGGTCTAAAATTATAGGTAGGTGATAATTTTGGGCTGCCTGGACGTTCCTTGAAATCCTCTATGTGCAGTTTGGCCATTAGGCAAGCATGGTGATGTGGCAAGTGTGTGGTTACATAGAATGGTGCCTTTGTATTTGATTCCCCCCACTTTTCTTTTTTGTACAGTGTTCTGAGCTGCCTAGTTCATGGGTAGGAAAATTGTGTTCCTACAGGGGGTGTTAGACCTGCAACTCCCATTGTCCCTGATTTCTGGCCATGGTGGCTGGGGCTGATGGGACCTGGAGTCCAAAAATGTCACCCAGTGGCTATAGGCTAGCCACCTTCTGCTCTCATTCATTAGTACTCTTGGCTGGTGACAGGCAAACAGTGCTATCAGGCTACAATTCAGGATGCCTCTGTAACCCCTCCCCACAAGCAAGGGGGAGGAATGCAGCTGTGACCACCAGCTCTTGCATTTTTATTCCAAGTTTGATGGAAAGGAGAGACCAGCTGAAGAGGCAAAGCAGTCCCATCCTCTCTTGGAGTATATGAAGTAGTAGTACCATATGCAGGCGGGGGGTGGGTGGGTGGTAACTTAATAAAGCTCAGCCTACTTGGATACTGTCACCATCCTAAAATTTAATTTAAAGAATTTATTTTGCATGTACATTTCCTCTCCTTCATTTGCTCCGTTACTATGTTTTCTACATTAGCTTCTAGCATTCTTTGATAAATGGGAGACAACTGGGCATGAGGTGATCTATGCTTAGAAACTATAACTGACCAAGCACATTTCTGTTGTGTTTAGAAATTTCCCTTCACATTCACCTTCCCTTTTTCACTTAATGTAACAGAATCAAGCGTGAGCCATTTGGGAAGGGCCATGTCTTGGTGGTAGAGCATCTTCTTTAAATGCAGATCACCTACCCAATCAACAGCATTTCTAGGTAGGACTAGGAGAAAGCTCTGTCTGAAACCCTGGAGAGTTACTACTGTTCACTGTAGATGATGCTGAAATAGATGGACCAATGGTCTGAATCTTCATAAGGCAGTTTCCTATGTTTCCATTACAGTTTAAAGAGTTATAGACAGGGTATGATGCAAAAGAGGATAAAGCTCCTGTGTCATTATTAGTTGTAGAGAAGAGGGAATTTCATCAGATGTAGCTTGCATGACATTCTTGTTGAAGATCTCTAACTTTTTAAAAGCAACCATCACACTCACACACACACACACACACACACACACACCCTTGTTTTGAATTTACTCAGCTGTTGGTTGTTTTCTTATGACCAAGCCAGCGAAATAACAGATTTTGGTCTACATATATTAGAGTAAGCTACATTAAAATAAAATGGACTTTAAAAGTATTTCTTCGATTCCTGTGAAATATCATTAATGCACATTTGAGAAGGAGGTATGCATGTTAAATAACATAGATAGTTCAGAATATAGAACATACACTTCATATCTTTGTCTGCTGTGCACTTAGAACATAGTAAAATGTAGGGGGAATGTTGCACCCCTAAATTCTAAGCTTTTTTCAGAAAACTATTTAGATAGTGATTTAATTAAAACTTCTCCTTCACCCAAAACAGTAAGTGAAATGTAATAGTGGCATGGATAAAATAAAACAATATCTGAAAGGTGACCCAATTGTTCAAGAAAACAGCATCAAAATATTCCCAAGCTATATTGAAGTATCAGATGTTAACCTGTAACTAAGGTACATAACATCCCTACTTTAATTTTAAAGAGCTTTTCTTGTTCGGTACAGTGAAGTTAAAGAATATAGATGCTAAACCAAGAGAGAGGTCACAAATAGAGCTATGTGTGTTTTAAACATGCTCATATTCTCAAAATGATGGCTTTGATTCTGACAGAATTTGACAATTGCTGACCGCAAGAAAGTCCTCCTTTGAGCTGCATCAATGCATAATTTAGAAGTGAACTATTACAGAGCCCTGGCATTCCTCTACATTCAGAGCAGCAGTTTACTAGGGAGTTCTGAAAATGATGTACTATGAGAAGTGAAAAATAAAAAAACCCTATGCAATAATTTATAATTGACTGCAGCCAAGGCCCTAGAGATGAATATGTATTGCATGTACCCACCTAATTGCAGCTTTCATTTTAGATGAGTGAGTTTCTGACTCTTACCATGGAATGAAAAGATCTCAATGTGTGTGAGGAGGGTCTGCCAAAGACTGAGAAACTATGGAGTCAGTATGATCAGGATACAACACTTCTGTATATATCTGTGCATCTTCCTCTCTTCCCTAGGACCTTCCCCACTTTGTCCACAATATAGTTCCACTCAGTTGCTCCACTTCAGTGGTACCTTGTTCTGATAGGATTCTTATGCAAGGACTTATCCATTCACTTCAACGTAAAGACCAGCTCTGCACATGTAGATCTTTCATTTCCATTCAGATAAGTGTGAATGTTCTCATATTGTTTCATAATGTGCAAATATGATAAATTAGGCTTGAAAGATGAAATGGATTGAATATTTCATTCACATTCACCCTTCTTTGAATGTTGCAATGCAATTCTCCAAACAATGTTTATAAAAACGTACATAAAAACAAATACAGTAGTGGAAGTAACACAAAAAATTCATTATGTAAGAGAAATTGCTTGCAAGAATGTATGTGTTAGTCAAAACTACATACAAAATGTGTTTATTAGGAGAAATCCACTCTGAATTTTCGTGAGGATTTTTTTTTTTTGTTTTGTAAATTGCTGCAGAAACACTGAGAATTGAATTTAAGATTGGCAAAATGAGATGACTGAAACTGGCAGATCCTTCCATCCCTAGCAGTAAGGTGAAGGAAAATTAAATAAGGGCAGAGTAGAAAACAAGGGATGAAAAGAGCACCAGGTCACATAAGAGCAGAAAAGAAGTAAAAGATCATTCATTTAAAATAAACAAACCCAGATAGGTTTGTTTCTTTCAAAGGCATTCAACAGCCAAATCAATCCTTCACATTTAGAAGTTAGATTTTAATACAAAGTTCTGGAATTGTAATACAAATTTTCTTGAATGTCTGACATGAAGAATAATCCTTCATACTTGGCAAAGGGATGCAGACATGAAGCTGCCCTTTTCAGTGGAAGGAATGGAGATGCTTATGCAGGAACTCTGCAAGTACATGGAAGCATATGCCCTGTTCAGCACTCAAGTGATTAACCACAAATGGAGTGTGTTTCATTTTAGAAGGCTCCACCTGCCAATTAAAGAACACTGATCAGGATTGCATGCAAGTACATTCAAAGGTAAGTGCTAGTAAGATCTGCAGGACTTACTTCCAGGTTAGTGTGCACGTGATTGCAGTCTAAATAATTTGAAATGTAATTGTTTGTGATAAAGAACATCTTACCATGGTTGTTTCTGCAATGGATCCAAAACTGTTTATAAAGATGTTGCATGTCACATTTACCGGAGGCCCTGTAAATGAAATCAAAATGAGGAGAAATTACAGCTCACACCAAACAAACAAGTCAAAACCTGTGGCTGCTAAACCAGGGATGGCAAACCTTTTTTTATCCCAAGGTCCACATTCTCTTCTGGACAACCTTTTGGGGGACCACATGCCATGGCAAAAGGAGACAGAACAATGAAGGTGATGCTTATCTTTGCACATACGCTAGTTTCTACACACCCACCCACTCTGACCACCATCCAAGCAAGAAAGAGACATTGTCAGGAGAAGGCAAAGCAGGGGTTGCGGTGGGGTAAGGATCATTACTTGAGAGAATGTGTGGCCTCTGAGGGGCAGGCTTGGAGGGCAGAAATTGGCCCCATGCATGAGCTTTTCTATGCATGAGCTAAGAGAAATGGAGGTAGTACTGCAGCCCTAAGACCACCTTTCATATATCCTTTTCTTTGAGTACCTTTCCATTTCTATGTGCATTTTAAAGAATTTCCCCTTAAAACGCCACAGACAAATGGGATAGGATGGGCTTACTTTCATTCCCTTGCAGAACTGGAGTGGAGATTGTTCCACAACATCTTTTTTTCTGTAATCCACAATAGGCTGCCATCCAGAGACCTTGAGAGCGTACGCAAAGTTCATCTGAAGGCCAGATGTTTGGAGAAAAGGCATGTGGGTGAGTAGATGCAGAAAGTCCCAGGTTCGGTCACTGGTATCTCTGAGAAGCTGAAAAGGGCTCCTGAATGGAGTTCAAGGACAGCTGCTGTCAGTATGGGCAAGAATGAACTAGTTGAGCCAACAGTCTGACTCAACAGCAGGACTGGGACCATGTTGTGCTGACAGAATCACAGAATTGTAGATTTGGAAAGAGTCCAAAGGGTCATGTTGTGCAATGCAGGGATCACACAAAGGTTTAACTCTATTTCTGTGCATTAGAGTTTCCCCAAATACAGTCATGTAGCAGATACTAGCAATCAAACTTTCCCTCCCAGAATTCATATCAGCTTCGGGAAATTTTGGGGCAGGACAGGCGGAGAGTAGAATTAATCTGGCTCCTAAAATCCTTGGCTCTGCTTACATGCATGGTGGTGTCACAATCTTTGTCCTTTTGGTTTTCAAGCATCTCATTCTGCTGCCCCCCCCCAATTTGTGAGTGGGAAGAAGAAAAGGTTGTTGCCAGAAGGAAGGTGATTAAATGCTCCAATGCACGCGTGGAATACCATTATTCCAACACCTATTGCACAGTTGCACAAATTTAATTTAAACTGGATGCTAAAATCGTTTACCTTTGGAGGAGAAAAAGCAATCCAGCTGGTGCTACCAGTTGGTAGCTGATCAGAACGATCAGCTAAGTGCCTGCTATGAGTCCTATAATAATGGGCAGTATGCTTGTCACTTTCAGTGGAACAATGTACACTGCAGCCTTTCGGTGCAATGACTGAAAGTGACACTGTTTCAACAGATCTATTCCTTTAAGTTAAATCAAATCACATTTTACTGCCCTGACAAGTTAGACAGGGTTGTCAAGTAGAAGAAAAGGGACACACTCCCTCAGGTATCTGTCAAAGGCAGTCTAGACATGTTTCCTGCCTCAACATCCAACATTTGCAGAGGTCCAAAAAACACACACAAAACCCCCACACCCCATTCTGAACACTGGTTGTGTAGCCCTTTGTTTCACATGCATTTGAATGTATATCACTGGATTTTTCTATTCTTTGCTGGGAGATCCACTAGTGAGGATGGGGAACCTGTGGACCTCCAGGCATTGTTGGACTCTGGTGCTCACAGAGGGGTGCCTAGCAACTTTACTGCGTTCCTTTAGCCATGTGCTGAAGATGCACCTCTTTACCACAGCCTTGACAGCTAAGGTATTTGCTGAATTTGTACTCTTTTGTTCCATTGGGATTGGTTTGATAGTTGTAATGGTTTCTATCCATGTGCACTCCGTTGTTCTATCCTGCTCTGGGACCTTGCGGCAAAGCGTGGGCATGGAATCTTCTAACTAAATAAATAAATGAGACCCAGCCAGCATGGTCAATGGCCAACGGATAACTGGGCACTGGATCGCTAGAGGTTTTCCATCCCTGAACTAGGAGAACTGTTGCTTTGAGTCCAGTGATTTTTTTCTGGGGATACTCAAGTACTGGCACCTTCTCCCCTCTCCCCCAATGTTAAAAGTGTGTCATTTACTGTAACAACTTCATGGTGAGTACCAGCACCTTTTTTTCTTTTAAAAAAGCACTGTTTGAGCCATTTCTGTTAGTAAAGTGATTAATTATTATTACTAATAATAAACACACGTGGTTCTGCTCACAGACATGCCCTTCCTTCATGTGGGTACTGCGAGGATGAGATGCCCCTCAAACCCAACACTCAGGAGTGCATTCACACTGCACTGCTGAAGAGATGGAGCAATTCAGAATTGTTGCATAAAGGGATTAAATTTCGGAATAAAATCATTCAATCAGTGCTTGTTATGTCTGAAATGCAGCTTTTGTATGGCTGATGTAAGAAATAATGGATTATTCTTCTGACAGGAAAAGTGCTTTTTGCAGAAGTAATGATCTCCTTTTTAAAAAATTATTCTTATTAAATATTTTCTTGGTTTATGAAAGTACATGCCCTGTCCCTTTTTTCAGGTTATGCAGTCGTTCTTACAAATCAGTTACATTTGTTGTGAGACATTAGTGTTAAGTACAGTACAGTGGTACCTCGGGTTAAGTACTTAATTTGTTCCGGAGGTCCGTACTTAACCTGAAACTGTTCTTAACCTGGAGCACCACTTTAGCTAATGGGGCCTCCTGCTGCCGCCGCACCGCCGGAGCACGATTTCTGTTCTCATCCTGAAGCAAAGTTCTTAACCTGAAGAACTATTTCTCCTTTAGCGGAGTCTGTAACCTGAAGCGTATGTAACCTGAAGCGTATGTAACCCGAGGTACCACTGTATAAGGTTGGGGAAGAAGGGGGGGGGAAGGAGGGGTGGGGTGGTGAGGCTTATATTCTTTTGTATAGTGTACATATGTGATCTCCTTTTTAAAAAAAATCAAATAAGGTGTCTTTTGAGACTCATTAGTACTTGGTTATTGGCACTGTAGTTGGTGTAGCCTCCTCTCTTTTATATATATAGTAACAGGCCAGTTTTGTTGTACTTTCCCTCTTTTCTTCTAACATGCACTGGGTGCACTTGTGGGGCTAAAGGTGAAATTCATAAATGGGAAATATAATAAACTGTCATGTGAATGCAGCCAATGTTTCTCTCTCTCTCTCTCTCTCTCTCTCTCTCTCTCTCTCTTTCTCCTGCTCTGCAACATATCTAAGTTTCTGTCTGTTATTCAGGGAATAAATGTTTGGATAGTTTAACTTGAATTTTAATCATGAGGGGCAACTTGTATTAGTCTACTGAATGTTAACCTAGAATGTTTGAATTCCTCTCCCACCATCAACTACCAAGTGGACTTGGATATCCCAGACTTAGATACACATCTGTAAAATGGGAATAATTATATATTATCCAAAGTAGTTATAACAAAAGGAGGATATTAGTGCATTTTAATAATTTCCATTCATATCTAATTCCAGGAAAATTAAACTAAATCTAAGGTCCTTCTTGGATAACAATAATAATTAACATGCAAGGTAGAAAACAACCATTAAAAACCACTATGAAGAACTATAGTGTTGTGTCTGAATGCATAAAGCAATTGAATCACTGGAAGATTACAATGATGCTTTGCCACCATTTTGCTACAGGCTAAAAAACAAAAGTTTTTTTGATTTATTTATAATGAGCTAGACTGTCATAAGGGATAAGCGGTTGTGTCACTGTTAATGCTTTCCTGCACAGAAGCCAGTAGTAAGAAAACAATGTGCTTGACAATCAATAATTGAAATAATAATTTGCCTGCCAGAAAGTGCTTGAAGCATCCTAGAAAGAACCTCCATACCCCCTCTCCAAAGTATGCAGTCCATACATGGCAAAGCTTTTTCAGATGTAAAGCTGATGGAATGGTGTCTATCAAGCACCAATTATACTCTACAATAGAGTTTGCTTTTTAAATGATTTTGCATTAGGCTATGGTTTACCATGACCACTTGAATGTGAGAAGTCCCAGAGAACAATTTGCACCTACTATGCCCCTCTGTGGGTTTTTTTAAGCTAAGTGAAGTGTGGCAGAGTGTGTAGAAGATTTAGGATGGATAAAAGAAACCTCTACTTCATGCAGTGCACAGTCAAACTATGCAACTTGGTCTCCAGGAGGCAGTGATGGCCACTGATTTAGATGGTTTTGAAAGAGGATTAGACAAATTCATGGAGGAGAGAGAGAGAGCTATCAATGGCTACAAGCCATGATGGCTATGCGCCACCTCCACAGTTGGAGGCAGCAATGCTGCTGAATACCAGTTGCTGGGAACCACAGGAGGGCAGAGTGCTCTTGTGCTCCTGTTCTGCCCTCCTCATTTCCCACACGGTTGGCCGCTGTGAGGACAATATGCTGGACCAGATGGGCCATTGGCTGTTCTTAGCTCATTATGAGTCTTTCAAACCAGTAATCACAGCTAAGGTCTCTCCACCTTAACCATGACCTATAGCCAAGGTTTGTTCCATGCTTACAGTTTGTGAGCATACAGTTTGTAAGGAGGAGAGACCTTAACTGCAACCTCAAGTTCAGATTACATCCTAATCCAAACTTTGGAATAGTTGATGCGCCATACTGAGCTAAAAAGCCCGGGGAGGAGAAGGAATGTGAAATTCTGCCAATTTTGGTTTCTATCAGGCCTCATCCACACTCTTTCTTTTCCTGTGCCTAGAAAGCACAGATCTGAGCAGTTTTTTGCTAGTCCTGTACTTTTCTAGGCATGGTTCCAAGAGGTTTTGCCCACCACTTTCCCCCAGAAAACACACTCTTTAGCCCTAAGTCAGAACCAACGGCCATCCATGGAAAAGCCAATTGCTGTTTGTTCCAATTTAGCACTAAACTGCTGGTCTCCCCACAGTGAAAACAGTGGGGCACACAGAGATATGGGTAAGCCCTTAGTTTCTCGTTTTCCCCACATATGTTGTTTTCCACATTTCCACATCATTTTGCAGAATTTTGGGGGAAGAAACAAACCCCTTCATGATAATTCAGCCTTTTAGTGTGATTTTCTCCTAATATACACATTTTTGTCTGCAGTTTTCCTTATATACACATTTTTCAATGCAGTTTCTCTTAACAGAATGCATTTTTGTACCATGTTTTCATTAATATCTGCATTTTTATGCACACTTTACCCTAGTATATGCATTCTTATACATGCTACCTGGCTGGAAAACAGCACTGTGGAATTTGGAATAGTGTGAAGTTCAAGGGGTGTTGTGCCTTGTTTAAAAAAGTGTGAATTAGGTAGGTTCACCTTTAAATTATAACTGAATTGAAATTCTTCCTATTCCTGGCGAGAAGCAATGTGGCTGCCTCAGGAGCCAGGACATTTGAGCATTCATGCTAAGTCATTGGTTGGCTTTAGGTGCAGAGTCCAAAATAATACGAAATTCTATTTGGCAATATTTTCTCCCACAGTATAGAAACACACACAAACCAAAAACTCAGCAAAGAGGATGCTTATCTGAACAATATGTCTGAACCTCTCCTTGCAGGTATTCCTGCAACTGACATCTTCCTGTTTATCTTTGCTTTTGGAACATGAATTGTATTGTTTCTGGGCTATGATTTTACAGATATTACTTAGTGCTTTAGTATTTTAATTGCAATCTTGCGATTTTATTGATATTTTTATAGCATGATTGTTTCAGTTTTATGTTTCTGTTAAGCCACTCTGTGGCAGAAGGACAGGACTTAAAAACATTAAAACTAACTACCGCATAATAGTTCAGATTTATTTTATTTTTTTGCAAAGTACGCTTTTAAGAAAGAGAAAAATGCCAAATTAGACTTGTGTCCCTTCTGTATTCCAGCAATTACAAAATAAGGCTTTTGATATTTAGAATACATGTTGCAGAAGAATTCACTACGTGCTCAACATCTGCCCTATTCCACAGTTGGCATGACCTCCTGCTGTCTATAATAAGCTCCACTATCCAATCTCCAAATGACCCTCCATGCCTTCAGCTTTCTACTAATGCTTTCCCCTGGAGATCTTTAAAAGATTCCAATAAAAAGTGGAAAGAGATTGGATGGCTCCTATTATTTGCCTGAAGTCATCTTCTGTGCAGCGTAGCTAAGGTAGATTGAACTTGAAGTTTATGTGCTAATGGGAATAACTATGGTAAGTAAACGAGAACAGCTTCGGCTGCAAAGCAGTGGCAGTGGGGGAGAGAGAGTAATTAGGAAGATGATACCAGCACAACATCAGGAAAGTAATATTAGAAGTGCATATCTTATGTAACTGTGCAAGTTCACTTATATAGCAACCTTCTTTTTTCTCTCACCAAGCAAAAAACCCAAGCACACAAGGCTCAGCACATATGGAACAGCTGCCCATGGAGGCAGAATTAAATGGTTCCCTATGGCTAGGAAGCTGTTTGCGTGAAGTGGTTCGCTGAGTTGCTATGCAGATGAAGGAATTCAGGCTGCTCCTCTGCACATGTTTGGGTTTAAGGTTTCGAGGACATTGAGAACACTGATAGCTTACTATGTGGTCCAAGTCACCATGGGGAATGATTTAAATAAACCTCCCGATGGAAACCATTTTGTGTGAAAGAGAATATCTAGGAAGAGGGGAGCACCGTATGCAAGCAAATGGGATAATATGGTCTAGCAACCTACATTCCCACATTATTCTGAGTTTAAACTTTGCTACTGAAGGCTCTCTCCTGCATTTTGAATCCAGGCACCCAGCCAATCCATACACATGGGTCATAGGGTTTCATATTTTCCACCCACATATAATTGCATGATGCAGTCCTCCACTGGGGTGGTATGAACACAAATACTGGACACGAATACTGGAATCATGTGAGCAGGACAAACTGTGTGTGTCTTTCCCAATTAGGTGATTATTGTGTGTGAAAGACCCACACAATTGACTTATTCATACACATCACTATTGAAAAAGATTCCAATACAAGGACAGAGCCAGGATCAGCTATGGCTGAGCCATCTGAAACCCATGTGGTCGTAGAATCATAGAATCATAGAATAATAGAGTTGGAAGAGACCACAAGGGCCATCGAGTCCAACCCCCTGCCAAGCAGGAAACACCATCAGAGCACTCCTGACATATGGTTGTCAAGCCTCTGCTTAAAGACCTCCAAAGAAGGAGACTCCACCACACTCCTTGGCAGCAAATTCCACTGTCGAACAGCTCTTACTGTCAGGAAGTTCTTCCTAATGTTTAGGTGCAATCTTCTTTCTTGTAGTTTGGATCCATTGCTCCGTGTCCACTTCTCTGGAGCAGCAGAAAACAACCTTTCTCCCTCCTCTATGTGACATCCTTTTATATATTTGAACATGGCTATCATATCACCCCTTAACCTCCTCTTCTCCAGGCTAAACATGCCCAGCTCCCTTAGCCGTTCCTCATAAGGCATCGTTTCCAGGCCTTTGACCATTTTGAACGTCTCCTCTGGACACGTTCCAGTTTGTCAGTGTCCTTCTTGAACTGTGGTGCCCAGAACTGGATACAGTACTCCAGGTGAGGTCTGACCAGAGCAGAATACAGTGGCACTATTACTTCCCTTGATCTAGATGCTATACTCCTATTGATGAGGCCCAGAATTGCATTGGCTTTTTAGCTGCCGCGTCACACTGTTGGCTCATGTCAAGTTTGTGGTCAACCAAGACTCCTAGATCCTTTTCACATGTACTGCTCTCAAGCCAGGTGTCACCCATCTTGTATTTGTGCCTCTCATTTCTTTTTGCCCAAGTGAAATACTTTACATTTCTCCCTGTTAAAATTCATCTTGTTTGTTTTTGCCCAGTTCTCTAATCTGTCAAGGTTGTTTTGAAGTGTGATCCTGTCCTCTGGGGTGTTAGCCACCCCTCCCAGTTTGGTGTCATCTGCAAATTTGATCAGGATGCCCTTGAGTCCATCATCCAAGTCGTTGATAAAGATGTTGAATAAGACCGGGCCCAAGACAGAACCCTGTGGCACCCCACTAGTCACTCTTCTCCAGGATGAAGAGGAACCATTGATGAGCACCCTTTGGGTTCGGTCAGTCAGCCAGTTACAAATCCACTGAGTGGTAGCATAGTCAAGACCGCATTTTACCAGCTTCTTTACAAGAATATCATGGGGCACCTTGTCAAATGCCTTGCTGAAATCAAGGTAGGCTACATCCACTGCGTTCCCTTCATCTACCAGGCTTGTAATTCTGTCAAAAAACGAGGTCAGGTTAGTCTGACATGACTTATTTTTCAGAAATCCATGCTGACTATTGGTGATCACAGCATTCCTTTCTAGGTGCTCACAGACTGTTTGCTTAATGATCTGCTCCAGAATCTTCCCTGGTATTGATGTCAGACTGACTGGGCGGTAATTATTTGGGTCCTCTCTTTTCCCCTTTTTGAAAATAGGGACAACATTTGCCCTCCTCCAGTCTGCCGGGACTTCGCCTGTTCTCCAGGAATTCTCGTCTCCCTCCTTTAGGAATGGTGGGCATTGCTCTAGAAGTTTGAACCAGCAGAAGAACATGTAGTTGTTTTAAAAAAGAAAAGATTGCTGAAGTGTGAATGATCAAAACCATATTCTCAATTATGAGCCAAACATTTTTCTTGCTTCTAAAACAATTCAAGCAACATTATAACCCAAATGGACACCTGGGAGATGACATTACCTTTGAAGTTCGGTCTTATTCTTGCATCGTAGCCAGACATCCTACCCATTAATTTATCCAGGAAATCTGATGGAGACATTGGCATGCTGCGTGATCTTGCACTGTCTGTTTCCTTCGTGGCCACCAAACTAAAAGCAAGCAAAATCCACACTTTTAATCAGCTTAAGCATCCAATATTTTTGAGATTCAAAAATGATGTCTTTGTAAGAATGAGCTTAAATGATAATTGTTGAAAACTAAATTGAGAATTTCATTGGTACTACTGTTTTCCCCTTACCCTAAATTAACCAAACATATTTTAACAGAATAACACCAAATGAGAAAATGAATATACAGTATTTTTAAGGTTGCCATCCTAAGCAAATATCAGTGGAAACCAAAGTTGTGGCTTAGTGGAAAAAGGTTGTACCAAAGCTCTTTTAATATATTTCATCTGGGATGCCCAGTAAGTGAATGACTCCCATTGTGAAATATATTTCCATGGGATATAAACCCTATTCAGGAGTTCAACTCATGAGTAAGTGGCCCAAATGCAACAACAGAGGTTCTTACATGAGAGTAAGGAGGAAAGCGTTATTTAAGGCTTACAATGGCACAGGTCAGGCTATGGGTACAGATTCCCAAAAGCACAGCTAGAGAATTTAAGATCAGCATCAGGGATCTAAAACTAGATGAAAGCTGCAAAGATGTTCCAACAAATGGTCACACGTCCCTGTCAGATTTTGAGTTCAGCTGTGGCGTGCTCTCCCTGTGAGGCTGACACACTTGGAGGAACAAGCTTCTATGAAGAGCATGTATCTGTTACCAATAGCAGAGGCAGCCCTGAGTTTTCAATGATGGGATGGAGGTCAGTCCCCCAAGCTGTTGCTCCAGCTGCCCAGACTCCCCTCCTGGCAGGTTAAAACCCTCGTCCATTGCTAGGGAATCTTGCTGCTCCATGGCTAGAGCAGGATAGGCAGCTAATGTAGGACTGCCTACATTTTCCCAACATCTAAATGCACAGGAGGCCACATCCTCCCTCTCAGCCTGCTCCCCACATGTGGTGCCTTCCATGCTCTGCTTCTCAACTTCCTCATCGGACAGCAACAGCTGCTCCACTTGGACTCACAATAGTAGAACATGGGAGTAGAAGTGAATACCTTAAGCTTTGGCCCCTCCCTCACCTGCTACAAGTTGTGGCCTTTTCCTATTCACGGGGCCTTCCCTCACCACATATAATCCTGATTTCCCAGAGCTCCTCTTTGTGTGGGGAACCTACACAGTTAGGGCAGCATTCCCCAACCCACAGCAAATGGTCACCCTGCAACTTGCTGAGGGAAACAGCAGGGGTCAGAGACAGCACCTTCTATTTGCCACCATAGATTACTGGATATCCACGGGAAGACTGAATTTGAGAGCTGAATTTGAGAGTAATCACCCTCTCTCACTGCTGTTCTCCAGTGGGTAGTGTTCAGAGAACTGCCTCTGTTGATTCTGGAAGTAGCATACAGTGGTACCTCTGGTTAAGAAATTAATTCGTTCCGGACGTCCATTCTTAACCTGAAACTGTTCTTAACCTGAGGTACCCCTTTAGCTAATGGGGCCTCCTGCTGCCACCACGCCACCGCCGTGCAATTTCTGTTCTTATCCTGAGGTAAATTTCTTAACCCAAGGTACTACTTCTGGGTTAGTGGAGTCTGTAACCCAAAGTGTTTGTAACCCGAGGTGTTTGAAACCCAAGGTACCACTGTATAGCCACCATGACTAATGGCATTACGCAAGAATAAATTACAAGACTGACTGGTAATGCATACAAAGATTCCCCCAGTCACCCACCAATGGCCTAATTCTCTGTACTTATGCTGTGTTGTATAAATAACATACAGTCGTACCTTGGATCCCAAATGCCTTGGCTCCTGAACAAATCGGCTTCCAAATGATCAAAACCCAGAAGTGAGTGTTCCAGTTTTCGAATGATTTTTGGAAGCCTTGTGTGGCTTCCGATTGGCTGCAGGATGCTCCTGCAGCAACTTGGAAGCCACGCCTTGATTTTTGAACAGTTTCAGGAGTCGAACGGACTCCCAGAATTCATTCTGTTTGAGAACCAAGGTACGACTGTATAGGAATGGACTTGGTAGCACAGCCATGTGCATATATTCACAGTGTTCAGCTGGGTTTACATCCATTTAAATGGGCATAGATTGCAGCTTCAGAGTCTGAACATGCAGCTGAATACAAGCAGGTGCCATTAATTAAGTGTCTGGATGTTGCAGCAAGAGCCATCCCTGTTGGGTTTTATGCGTGAAGGTACCTATGCAAATTTGACTGCCAGTCATAGACTTTGAGGGTGTGGTAGAGAGAAATTGGGTAAAGCGATCAAATCCCAATCCCTTTTACGCATGTTGGATCAACCATTTGCACAGAGCTACTGCTGTATCACAGATTAAAACTGTTCCATGTACTCCCACCCAATGTCAAGGACACCTCTTAATGTCAGGGGGAAAGCATTAGAGTTTCAGAACAAGATGCCACCCATTATCTTTCATTCTTGTCTTTTTAACTTGGTTCATCCTTCGACATGCTTTCTTCTGAATCTACTTCAACGGTTTGTCTCAGGCATTTCCCAGAGCAACACAAATCCATTTCATACAAACGCTGAAGTAGGTGACTCCTTATGAAAGCTCGGCCCACAGGAAAAACACATAAAGTACCCCTGCATCATGTGACTTTTGCTGCTTACACACTACAGCTTAAATCATATCACACACAGCTCCCTAAGAGGCTTTGCATCACAACAATTTGGCATGGTGGCAGCAATGACACCACAAGAGTAAAACAAGTATTAAGCCTCCAGTGACTACTTTTCAACCAGGCCTTGGGCTGATTAATACTCTACAGCCTTTTAAGTGTGTCTGTGGGAAGGGGGAGGCGTTATTGTTTTGTTGTTTTGGTTTCATTATTTACTTGTGTTTTACCCTGTATTTTATTCTGTGAACCACCTTGAGATCTTCTGATGAAAGGCAGTATATTAAATAAATAAAAATAATAAGATAAGAATACTCTTCTACATTTTACCTGTGTCACACATTTCAGGGGAGGGGGAATATATCATTTTCTTCTAAATCCATTTGAATGATGCTACAGCTGTGCTTCTGAAACAGTGGGGCACATGACCCACCAGTGGGCCTTGGTGCCACAGCCTACCCTGCCCTTTGCTATTCCACCCCCCTTTTGCTTGGACTAATGCCAGCATCAGAATCTTTTTGTATGCTGAGTAAAAATGGCAAGAAATCAAAAGAATTTGGGGGTAGAGGAAATTCTCCTTCTTCTGAGGCAAAATTGCAAGAGAAGGTGCTGAAGGAAAATTGAAAATGAGATAAAATGTGTGGGTGGCATTCAGTTCTTGTCCAGATTAGATCAACTGAAGTTAATGGACATGGCTAACTTAGATTTATTATGGTACGTTCTACAGAAAGACAGCTTACCTAAAACTGCTAGCATAGTGCTTGAGGTGTTGTTATGCACCCCATAATCTGGATAAAACAATATCTCCCCTGAAGTAAACTCTTCACCCCAGAAGGTCATATGGCATCAGATTGTTCCAGATAACTCATTGTGCACAAAGTTCATCTTCCTTTAAAAGAAGCCTCTGCAGTAGAATTACAACTAGAGTCAATGAAAGCAACTCTCTCCCAGGCAAAATTGTCATCTTGGCCCAGCATGAAAAGTGTCATTTTTAATATCTTGCTCTTCTTGTGCGTTCTGAACTCTCTGCGACATTCTAAAGGATGTTCACATACACAGAAGATCACAGTCCCAGTATAACCTATTTCAACTACAACATTAGTTTATTTTTATTTTAAATAGAATTTTTTGTAGGTCCCCTAAAAAGAATCTAGTCAATAAATACAAAGAATGACTACAGCAGTCTGTGCTGAAAAGAACCCAAAACACCCCTGAAGGGGAAAGAAATGTAGTGTTTGGCTTCATACTGTTTTTTACAAGTGCTTGACCCCCTCAATACATCACTCTGTACTCATCACAATATTACTCCAGTTACCAGGAGTCATGCCTGATTAATAAAAAATGTTTCTTTATGAGGCACTCAGTCTCTGCTGTTGCTTCACCTGCTCCCGAGCCTCAACACTAAGAATTAGGTGTGGTGGAAAATTAAAATAAAAACCTGCCTATACTCTGCACAAACTCAGGCATTCTTGATTCTTCATACCTGTAGTACGTGACTTGAGTCCTGGCACTGAACTGAAAACAACGTGTCTCTTCTAGGCCCAAGTCACTGACACAATGCTGTTGCTTGAGTGCAAAACCAAATGTTATCAAGAATCATAGAGTTGGAAGGGATCATCTAGTCCAACCCCCTGCAGTGCAGGAATAGGAAGCTCTCCCATACAGGGGTCAAACTTGCAACCTTGGCATTATCAGCACCATGCTCTAACCAACCGAGCTATATAGGCTGACATACAGTTGGAAAGGACCTTAATGCACAATGGAAACAAATATGTTGATGCTCAAGATCTGTGCTGTGAACTTACAGCAATAGCTCAAGGACTTCCAAAGTTTATGCCACCACAAGGAGTATTTCTCTTCATATGACAACAAAAATTCCTGGATAATGTGCCTAATGTTTCTGTTGCTCTAAGGGTCCTTCTAAACACTTCCAGTATCAGTGGCATGTGGTAACCGCAGTTTCTGAAAGTGCAAACTTATAAGAACTTACATATGCTCAACAATGTTTCAAAACAGACTACTTGGTTTGTCAGTTATATCATTTGAACATGCTCAAGCATCAACCCTTGACCTGAAGGAACTGGTGGCCAAATTAGCAAAGGAAAAGGCATGCAAAGTGATATTTTGATGTGCCTAAAATTGAAACTTTTTAGAGACAAGATTATTCAAAAAGATTTGTGTGCTAAAACATCTTCTTCTGCATTTGAGAAAGATAATTTAATTGCAATTTAAATGAAATTTAGCAGTTTCAAGTTTTGTGCTTTTCACACACACCCCTACAAGGTATCTCTTTTTGAAAATTGAAGATAGAATTATTTTAAGGTAGGATGCAAGCGCTTAGCCTTGCCTAGGGCACAAGATAACCCGGACAGCTGCACTGAACACAATGCATGCCTGAGAGATGGCCACCCAACTTTCTCTAACATCAAGGAATCATTTACAACATTCTGAGGTGCTGTGAAGGAGCCCACCTTGGACCAAAACACCCATATTTCTGGTCTGACTAATGAAAGAGCAAAGCTTCAGCTTGAATGCTTGCTAAAAGCTGAAAAACACTTTTCAGTGGAGTGTGATAAGGGAATTCATGAAAGAAAGACATTCAAGCACAGGCAAATAGGCAAGTACTTACAGTAGATGGGCATTAACAACATCAAAGTTTTATAAGCAGTGCACTGAAGGAAAAACTGATATCAGTTTATGTCTACATCTGACAAAGTATCAGTCTTGTGTGGGCATGCATATTGAATATCAAACATGTATACTACATCTGAAGAACATACCATACTATACTGGTCTGACCACAGCTGGAGAGGACATCATTCTTGAATAGTAGTTAGGAAAAAATGACAGCCACATGTTAAGAAACTGTCCTTCCAAACAGACACACCCCAAATAATATCAAAGTCTGCTGCTGACAAAGAACTGCGAAGAATACTGCCATCTGTATTTGTACTGTGCATTATTAAAAAAATTATTTGCAGAATATTTTCAAGAGCAGAAGAAAAACAAACAAACAAGCTTAGGTACTAGTTTCTTCTCCCACCTCTAGATTAGAGACTGGAAGCAATAAAGCAGTAAAGTCACCATAAGTGACTCACCAAGTAAAATCTTAGTATTGTATTGTTATGAGTTTGGGGTGTTAAACTGTATGCTGAGACCCACCAGATACCCTCACCTGGTTTAGCTAGCCAGTCATAGCCATTCCCAGGGTGTGGCTGCTGTCACATACCAACAGCTTCTAGGAGCCACAGGGGAGAGCTGAGTGCAGGGTGGGGACCAAAGGTGGACAAACTATCCCAGAAGGAGTATGATATGTTACCCACCAAAAGTACTACCCTCCCCGAACACCCCATACACCCCAAATACACAAGCAATATTCCAAAATATATAGTACATTGTCCAGAGGCCCCATCCAGCCCCCACAAGGACGACACACAACTAGAAGTTTAGTTCTTCATTGGCAAAGCACTAGGGCACAAGAATTACATGCACCACTCCTGCTAAAGAGCTTGCTAGGCACGTCCCTCTTCAGACCTGTGCTCCTATCCAACAGTTGGAGCAACAGTGTGTCATGCCCCCTTCAGCACATTTAAACCCCCTCCTCTGACATGGTGTGCACAAGTGTGGCATTTGTACGGAGCCCCCGGTCGTTTCACGGACTATTGACCCATACACCACTAATCCGCTGCCACCAACCAGGTTCTCCCCAGTAAATCACAATTATTTTATCCTGTCTCTAACTCTTCTACCTCCCCTCACACAAGAACCAACTGCACTAACTGTCTCTCTATTTCCATCTGTCTTCCAACTGCTTTAACTCCCAACTGCTTTTCCCTTATTGCTTTTTCCCAACTGTCTAAACCTCTGGCTAAGTCTTTTTAAAAACAGGTAGGCTCCGCCTCTGGCTTTTCTATTGGTCTACCTATTAACCCTTTCTCTCCCCCTGTACAGACATTTCCAAAAGAACGGGCAAATGCCACAACAAGCAACCAGCAACTTCTCCTGCACTACATCTACAGCTGCTCCTGAAACTTTAAGCCCTTCCTTGTCCTTGGAGACAGTGGGGGAGGCGATGGAGGAGATTCTAACAGCCCAACTCTCTTTGGGACTGTCTCTTCCACCTCTGCGCCTTCCTGCAACTCTTCCCCCACCTTTGAGTCTTTTCTCCCTGCTTCACAGGTGGAACAAAACCACTCAAATTACTGGCTCAATTCTCTGGATCATTCTTTTGCCCTTCTGCCTCCTCTGCACAACCTTCAGATTCCTGCCTGTTCCTGACATAGAAAAATGCAAAACAACAACAACCAAAAAACACAACAACAACAACAAAAAACCACAAAACAAGCAAAACAACCCCCCTCCCAGCTTTTCAGGTTTTTAGTCCAGTATCACAATGACTAAGTTATGCATGTTTAGCCTAGATGGTAGATTTGCTAGCCTAGCCTAGCTCCACTGTAGGTCACTTCTAGTTACTGTAACATCGGCAAGTGAAGGAGTAAGTAGAAACACAGTTAGCGGCTATGTATTTATATATTTGACAGAAAAACAAACTCGTGCAGGGAACCTTAACAAGAAACTAATGAGACATATTTTGCTCACAGATAGTTTCTGTGAAGAATTGCCCAGTTATATCACATGCTGCCTTTGCAAAACAAGACTCTTTAATGAGTGGGTGCACAATAGAAAGGCACATTTCTTTATTACCATTGCAGTTACAGTTTCCATTAGTAATAATGCAAGTTTTATATATGCAGAAGGCGTGGAATTATTCTCCTCATTCTCTGCATATCTTTATTAGCAGCTTTAAAAACCAACAACACAACACTTGGACTTCAAGTGTTTAGACCAGCCTTCACCAGCTTGGTTCCCTCTAGATATTTTGGACTACAAACGCCTACCAGTGAGAGCCAGTGTGGTGTAGTGGTTAAGAACGATAGACTCATAATCTGGGGAACCGGATTTGCGTCTCCATTCCTCCACATGCAGCTGCTGGGTGACCTTGGGCTAGTCACACTTCTTTGAAGTCTCTCAGCCCCACTCACCTCACAGAGTGTTTGTTGTGGGGGAGGAAGGGAAAGGAGACTGTTAGCCGCTTTGAGACTCCTTAGGGTAGTGATAAAGCGGGATATCAAATCCAAACTCTTCTACCAGCTCCAGCCCACTCTCATGCCTCTGTGGGGTTGGCAGTCCAATGCATCTAGAGAGCAGTTGGTTGGCAACGGCTGGTCTTAAGAGAAGGTGAAATGGAAACTGGATGGAGGTCACCAAGAGAATTTTCACTAACTTGGCTTTGGAGAGCTACATTGTGTATATGAATGGATGGGAAACATTTTAGTGCCTCTTCCATGTCAGAGATGTGGACAATAACATTTTCTAGCTTCTCGGATTTCAGCAATATGCCAATGAAGGTGAGAAGGAGACACTGCAGCTGGGTCCCTCCCATCAAGGAGATGAATGAAGGTGCCCAACCCTTTCCCCACAGTTGTAGCCCCTGGGCAATATACAGATATGGTCTTGTCAGAAGCCATCACCTAGCTGATGCTTGGTGGTGTAGATCAGGACCTTCTTAAAGGACTGGTGGGCACTGGAGGCCGATCACATCTGGGGAGTTCTCTGGGGCCAGAGAAAGAGATTTCCCCACTCCTGCTATAGGTTATACTGGATGTTCTTAGTACCATAATGGAAGGCAGGGGGATCCCATGTGATTTAAACTTAGTGAAAAGCAGTATGTAGAGCTTGTAAAATAAAATAAAATAAAAAGGATTTTAAAATGCTGGTTTTAAAAGCTTAGGCTATATTAAAACCAAGGCTATTGATTTTTTCTTTACAAATGCATTGCTATTTCATAATAGCACATTGATAATAGCATATTGATTCCAAATGCTAGAAAATTAAACTCCTCTGAATAATTAAACAGGATGATACTGTTTGGTTAAACATTATAACATTATTCATATTTTGAAGAGGAGAGGAATCCCAAAGGCTCCGTCGACATAAAGTGTTCCTGACCAAGAAAGGGTGGGTGGGAGATATCATCAATAAATCATGCTGCACAGAGCTACAACTATTCCATGTTATTTATCAAAATCTATTCTCATCTGAGTGAACTGTAAAACTGAAATACTGCAAAAGGCAAATTACAAGGCTCTCAATGCAGCTGCAATATATATTTTCTTCTTTTGTTTTAATTTATTCCTCAAAGTGAAACAGGATGGTTTAGATCAATAGCCTCCAGATGAGAGATGTAAAACTTCTAGAAAATTTGAAGCCATGGGAATGAAAACCCTTTCATTTTGCTTGTGTATGTGTGTGTAGGAAAAAGCAGAAATTATATATGCTTCCTTTTTTCATTGTAGAGATGGGCAAGCTCTTACCAGTTTTGGATTAATTTAGAAGTGATACAAGTTATTAAAGAAAAAAATCAGCAAGAACTCTGGGACAATCCAAAGCTTAGATAATCATCCCATCCCATTTTTGCCAGACCTACCAATCACTCAAACAGCTTCCCTCACAGCCCCCAAACACAATGCCCCTTTCTCTTTATTTTCCAGCGAAGCACTGACATAAACAACAGTAGCACATGGAGACAATGAAGGGATGGAGGTCTTCTCCTTTCTCCTCTCTCTCTTCACCACTAAGGTGTGCTGTGGAACAGCATGCCAGGAAGAAAGTCTAGGTGGCCCTTTGGACTGGTAATTTACCCAGTGGCTACTGCAATGTGAAGACTATTAAGTTTCAAGGGCCACTGTGCCCTTCATCCACAGCATGCCAGAGCACAGAAGCAGGGAGGAGAACATCTCCCCTACCCTCATGTCCTGCTGTTGCTCCTGTTGCCACAAGTTTAGTAAAGGAGAGTGGGAGTTTGTTTGAGAGGTGCTGGCAAGAAGGATGTTGACCACTCTTTTGGAGTCAGATTTTAGTCTGAGCTGGAGAAGAATTGAAGAAGATTATTTCTCCATTCAGGAGAGCTTTTGCAGTCTCCAAAATTATCATCTGAGGCTGAGCTTGGAGGAGGTTGCTGGCATCTTGTAATCATTTACCAAAGGTGTCATGGACTTAGAAGATGCTCAAACTCAGGACGAAAGAGAGAAATGTGCAAAGGCACGTTTCGCAAACCCTCACCATGATCAACTCCCACCCAGAAACGCATGTCTCCACTGTGGAAGGATGTGCAGATCCAGAATTGGCCTCCACAGTCACTTACGGACTCACTGTTAAGTCTGTGTTCATGGAAGACCATCTAACTTGGCTATGAGTGATCACCAAAGAAGAAGAAGAAGAAATCATTTGTGAGGAGAAAGCTACATGATCAATTTGTGATCAGCACACAAATGGTTCAGTCTGTCAACAGCATCTCATCTCTCTGGATGGACTTAAAATTGACCTTTCCCTGGCCAATTTGTGCACATTTGCCCTGATTTCTGACATGCTACCACATTCTATGCAAAACAGAATCAGGTGATGATGAGTATCATGTTCCAGAATCAATGGGGGAAAGCTGGGGCACTTGCTAGACCTATCAAGAGCCCCATCAATGCATCCCAATGTCATAGTTGTGATGAGTTGTAGCCAAGTAGTTTCTGCAAATGTTACAACACGTTTTTTCATAGAGCTACTCTTGCAGAACAGATGAAAAATGCAGGGGATATTGGATCTTCTAACAAAAAACAACATGGTTGAATAATTCTGTTGATTTTTGCAACCCCTGCACTGAATGAAATTTAAGGAGCTGATTCTTACCATTAAAGAGCCCTTGTGTATCTTAAGAATATCTCCTTCTGTAAAATCCCATCCACCCACCTATCCATCCATAAAGATCTAGTGAAGGAGCTCTTTTCATATCCCATTTATGCTGGAGATAAAATTTGTGCAAGGGCAGCATCTTGTCCATAGTGATCCCAACCCTTTGGAACCAATTGACTTACCATCAGAATAAGACTAACCTTAAAATTATAATGAAGCAGCAGTGATGCCTTCTGTTATTGGAAGACTTTCTAATACTGTACCCTTCATTTTTATGACCCATGGCTAGTTAGTAGCTTTCTGAAAATATGGCTGACTTATAATTCCTTATGACACTTAAATGACTGTTGAGTTTTTAAACTCTTATTTTATTACTTTGTAAGTGACTTAGAGAAGTGATGATGTATTTCAGTTATCGATAACTGAAATGTGGGGCATAACAGTTTTAAATTAAACTCTGTCTTGAATACATTGGAGGCCCACCAAACTCAATAATGTTCAAAGACAATTCAATAGAAAGATAAATCACGCTCCAATGGACGGTGGAAT